TGCGGCTGTGCCGGCCTCGATTGCATCACAGCAGGGACTTCCCCTCGGATACACAGAGCGTAATACATCTCAACACCACTGAGCACAACTCACACTGTTTACTCTAGTTAAACCCGGTTTTCTGGAGCTATATGACTACTGTTTGGACACACCTAGTAATAAGAGGGATTTCCTTTCCCTCCTATTTTCAAAGATAGACTAGAAAACATCATTCTGACTTCAAACAAACAAAGATTAAATAGGCCTAAACTGTGTCAACATCAAAGACTTGTAATAAGTTCAAATCACTTTAGTGGTTACAAAGTGGTTAGTGGTTGACTTTCCTGCACCGGTCAGCGCAGACATGTGAAAACAGTTTGAGCAGCAGCAGATAAACAGTGAACCCGTCAGTTGCACGGAACTATTTCACGGTTTCGGTTTCTACAAGGGACTTCAGACGTGTGATTTATAATCACTGTTTACGCTAAGTATCAAAAGGAGGTACAAAACCCAAGAACTTCTCCATTACAGGTCTGATACCACTTGAAAACATGACATCCTGCTCGATATGCGGAACACAACAAAACAACAGAAGCAGAAAGGAAAGTGAGCACACTGACGCCATCTGTTGCTACAGTTCTTAAAATTATGAAAAAATACACAAACGACAGAGCCAAAGTGCAAAGGATGACCAAAAAAAACTGAATTTACTGCCATGGACAGCAAATCGTTCTCTGTTGTTGAGGATATTAGATTTCAGAATAATTCATACTGTGATAATTTTAGTAAGCTCATTTTATGTAACTTGTTTTTATGTATTGTTCGCTTTTTTGGCTTTGGCTTTCAGACGAGCATGTCTTGAATTCCAGTTTCGGGCAAGATGTTGGTGCATCACTATTTAATTTGACAATTTTCCAGATTTTAGAATAACAGTGAAGACATCAAAGCTATAGAATAACATTTGGAATTACGCAGAGATCAAAAGTCCATCCTATTTTAGATCCTTTTAAAAATTAGCTCCCCTTTGCCTCGATGCAGCTCTACACAACTTTGATTACTCAAGTGGCTTCATGAGGTGCTACCTAGGATGCTTTTCCAACAGGACTAAGGAAGGTACCGGAACACAAAAATATTCTTAAACTGTGTAAAATTCCTCCCTATTGTGGAAATGTTGCAGAGACACTTTGTAGTGATATGTCTTTCAGTTGCTCCATAGTTATTCTCCAGTCAGTTCACTATATAGCAAACGCTGTGTAGTGAACAGTGAAAGAGAGTTAATGACCAGCAACAGCAAAGCGGGGTTTCTTTCTGATGCTTGAAGTTCCAGAAAAGATCCACGTTTTCTTATTATTTTTTGCTATACGAATTGCTATTTCTTTTTATTTTGATCTCATGGCTCTCATGGTATGATGCTAGTTATTTTATGAAGGCTACGTCTTAAAATTAATGACTGTTACAGCAATTGACGGACTAGACATCAAACAATACAGGGTGATTCAAAAAGATTCATCCGCTTTCTGCTCAGGGGTCTCCATCTCCTCGCAGCCTGAAGGGAGCCATCTTTTGGTGACAGTCGGAAACTTTATGACCCCCTCTTTCAATTGGTATGTGATTGGTTCCTAGGCACCTCAAGGTTGTAAAAATATGGCACTTAAATAATAAACAATATGAAAATATGAATCTTTTTGAATCAGCCTGTATAATTATGACCATCATTGTGGCCAACTGTTGCACAATTACATTGTTATACATAAAAAAGAAGCACTGAACTACAAAGAACCACCTAAGCAGTGAACAACTGTAAGTTGTTCTATATATAGCCAAGGTTGGGAATGCAAGCATTTGGAATAAGTATTTACAATACAGAAGTTAAATATTTTAATTCAGGCCACGTTAATTTTGAAAAGGCAGTACATTTAGAGTACGGTTGCTTTTTTAAAAAAAGGAAGTTTTAAGAGAACTCTTTCAGAATATCCACCAATAAATAAAAAAACACTATCAATGACTGCTGATTAACTATTTTAAACTCAGTGCAAAAACTCAATAAATTACTTGCTTGCGAAGTTCCTGCAAAAAACATGACTAGACGGAAGAAAAACAAGCTCAGCGCATTGATTTATCTCTGTGTTACTGAGCTCTTAAGGAATGATCAAATAAAACAGGCTCCTCATTAGCGGACGTTTTTCTACAATATAAAAAGCTCAGCACCAGTGCTGTACAGGACTCGTGTGTGTGTTTCGTGGCACTCAACTTTACATAGCTACTCACTTTATGGTCAAATGTGTGCATATATATCTTTATATAAATTACATGAATAAAACTGCCAACCAGTAACAGTCCTAAATTTATACAAAATATGAATATGTTACTTTTTTTGTATTGTAATGGAATATGTTGCAGTATACACTTAGGGCAGCATATAACCATCGCCTTCACTAAAGAACCCCTGAGTTTTTCAAACAGTCTTCCATAAGCATGACTACAAGTACTATTTGTTTATTGCTGTGGTGGCTCTGGATTCTGCTGTAAGATTTGGAATGAGTTCATTATTTTCAGCATTTCGCAACATAACGCAATATGCTGTGATTTTAAGGTTCTCACAGAATTTGGAATTTTCCTCTGCATTTCATGAACAGTATTGCACATCAACAACGGTGGCCGGGCAACAATTGCGGTGAGCCGAAATTCACCATGTTCCTCTTTCGGTCATGTACTGGCTAGAACTGCTCAGCACTGCGTCCTCCCTGCTGAACAGAGACTGTGGGAGTAACGCAATCACAGATATACACACACACACACACACACACACACACACACACACACACACACAGAGAACAGTGTGAACACACACTGTTCCCGACAAACATCTTTGTGAAAAATCGCACTGAATTTTCACCATGATTTCATTCATCTAGAGCAGCTGAGGCCTGTACTTGTGGACTCTTTAGTTTTGGGGTAGGGTGAGTGTATGTAAGCACGTATATTTTTTTTATATATATATATATATATATATATATATATATATATATATATATATATATATATATATATGAGAGAGAGAGAGAGAGAGATCATTCTCAACACTGCACTAACACTGATGTGTGTTAGTGTGTGTTGTGCTGGTCTGAGTGGATGTCCACCAACCAAAAATATCCAGCCAACAGCGTCCTGTGGGCAGCATCCTGTGACCACTAATGAAGGACTAGAGGATGACCAATGCAAACTGTGCAGCAGCAGATGACTATCTAATAGAGTGGACAGTGAGTGGACACAGTGTTTAAAAACTCCAGCAGCACTGCTGTGTCTGATCCACTCGTACCTGCACAACACACACCAACACACCACCACCATGTCAGTGTTACTGCAGTGCTGAGAATGATCCACCACCCAAATAGTATCTGCTCTGTGAGGGTGCATGGGGGTCCTGATCACTGAACAACAGGGTAAAAGGGGGCTAACAAAGTATGCAGAGAAACAGATGGACTACAGTCTGTAATTGTAGAACTACAAAGTGCACCTATATAGTAAGTGGAGCTGATAAAATGTACACACACACACACACACATACACATACACATACACATATATATATATATATTTTTTTTGGACAGTGACGATATATACACGATATATGCACACACCACACCCCAAAACTGAGAGAACCCAAAGTTTTTGTCCTGGGGGCTGAAGTGCAACGTTCATGGTATAATATAAAGTACTATAAAAATATAAAGAAGGTAGCTTGTTTTTTTTAAAAAATGTATTTTATAACACATTTAACTCAAAGCTATTATCATACTACAATGCGGTTTTAAAAGGGATATAAAAATGTAAAGTTCAAATCAAACTGCTATCTGGATTCAGCTTATTTAAGTTCAACTGATTCAGTGAACTCAGTGATGCTTCTCTCACTGAAATGGCTGGACTCTGATCTCTGTCTTCAGACCACCATGCATTTAGCATTCGTACTGTTTCAATGATTTTACAATGTATTATTCATTACAGTTTATTAGGTCACTACGTCAGTTTAGAAACCACAACGTTCCATATTTCACAGTTCCCAGTTTAGTAGTACATGACTTAAAATTGGGCAATGCTCACATACGAAACAAAGTGCTGACAAATGTTTTTATTTTAGTGCTTTGGAGTTTGATGCGCCTCTTAAGATGAACTATACCTCACCCTTGGCCAAGCATACAGACTAACGCACACTGAGCGTTACACAGTATGTAGCCCATAGAGTAAATCCACAATAATGCAGAAGCACAGTTTTGACCATACTGTTTAGATTTTTTCCATATGGGCTCCATCATGCACTCCTCTTAAAGGGGTCTTGGCTTCAATGAACAGTATATAGAGATTCTTTAAATTAGAAAAAATATTTTTTTAAATCACATGCTTACTAGTGATGTGTTGCTTGTGAATAAACTGGCCCTTTGAGTTTACCCTTTTACATAGGGAGCTGACTCACATGCCAGATCAGCCAGGCAGGGGACATAAAGAGGGAAGCCAGTGGAGGCAAGGGTGGTGACATGTTCCACAAATGGGGGGCCTCAGACCAAACAAGTTTGAGAACCACTGCTTAAGGGAATCTATGGCACCGCTCCAAAGAATCCTTCTGACACTTTCATTTTTAAGAGTGTAGAACAGATCTTAATGTACTGCAACCTTTGTGATTTCACAACTGACATTTGAAAAGCTTTATAAAAGCTTTATTACGACCTTACCTATGATCAAATTAATTTTCATCGCACTGTTTGGACAGAGCACAGCCTCATTCATCCAATACAGAACAGTCCAACTTTACCCTGGTTTTCATAGGCTTTAAGCTAGTTCTACAGAAATTCTGAGGGACTACAGAGTGATGTCATCTGCTTCCAGAAAACCAGCCCCTGAGAACTACATGGGTAATTTCGTTTAACTGAAACAACATGGAAGCAGAAACCAAGTCTTGACAATTAGTGCCACCTGCTGTCCCGAAAAATAACTGACCACATCTTGAAAAAAAGCACAGATTCAAATTACTGTCACTGTGTGTTTAATAGCCATAAAAATATATATTACAATACAAAAGGTAGATTCAGATTTGCTAAGATGCTACCTTTACGTGTACAGGTTGCTTTGGGCATCGTGAATTCTGGTTAATTTCTGCAGCGTTTCCACACTCAGGCAGGTCTCCAGCTAGAGCAGAGGAGAGAAAATCATGACCGTTCTGAGAACAAGCATATTAAGTGATGTGTCATTTATGAATGTGTCTGTTTCTAAACTTCTCTTTTAGATGAACGTTGAGACTCTAGAAGCAAGTGTTTTTGGTAAATGTAGACAAGACAAATAGTTAGATCCTATGACTTTGACAGTAGGCTAAATGCTGTTATCACATACAATGTAACACTGATTGAAATTCATCCACTGAAATTTCGGACTTTTTGGTATAACCAGTCCTGCAGTTTTTCTATATTTTTTTTAAATGGTTTTTAGAACTAACAAAACATAAAACATTTTGTTAATAAATAAGGTACTATGTTTACATGTTGCCTTATAGTGGAACGTGACCAATGGCAACATTCAGCCATGGAAACACTGCTATGGCAACAGAGTTTTAAAATAATAACAATAACAGCAATAATAATAATCACCACCACCAACCCTTTTCTATCTTGACCATTACATGAGATCACAATTCTCTGCATTTAAAGATATTTGAGCACTTTCCATTTAGGAAGGCTGTAGCGTTTATCTGGACATCACTCTCTGTAATAGCTAAAAATTGGCAGCAAACAATGCTCTTCTCCCCCTCAGTTCAGCTACACACTATACGTCCAAAAGTATGTTGACACAAGATCATATCTATACAAGGCTGCTGCACATCCCATTCCAAAACTATGGGCATTATTACATTGGGCACTGGGAGTTGGCCCCTCTCTGTGGCTATAAAAGCCTCCACTCTTCTGGGAAGGCTTTCCACAAGATTTTGAAGCGTCTGCGGGAATTTGTGCCCATTCAGTCAAAGAGCACTTGTGAGGTCAGGCACTTATGTTGGACGAGAGGGTCTGGTTCACAATCGATGTTCCAACTCATCCCAAAGGTGTTCAGTAGGGTTGAGGTCAGGGCTCTGCACAGGCCACTAAAGGTGGCCTCCACACCAAACTCGTCAAACCATGTATTCATGCACCTTGCTAGATTCATCCATCAGACTACCAGTTAGTGAAGCGTTATTCATCACTCCACAGAACATGTTTCCACTGCTTCAGGGTCCAGTGGCGGTGTGTTTTACACCAGAGGTTCTCAACCTTTTCCACCTTAAGGCCCACCTGCGTTTGACTACAAAGCATAGCAGCCCACAGAAAAACTAAATTCAGCTTTAAGTACAATTTTCTTTTTCTTTTCTTACGTGCTGACACCGAAAACCTGAGAATCAGGGACTGAAAAAGATCAGATCATAATTTTCAGTGTTTAATTCACCTATTACTCTGCGACATTTTTACTTGTACATCTCTATTAATATTTATATTGATTACAACTTAAAAACGTTCAATTCCTTAATTTTTAATTATTATGTTAGTCTTTATTCCACTTATGTTTTTGGTTACAAAGTGGCATTACTGGCCCAGCATGAACTACTGCCTCCCCCCCGAGTACAGACTTGCGGACCACTAGACGGTCCTTCACGGCCCACAGGTTGAGAAACGCTGCTTTACACCACTCCAGCTGACTGTGCATTGCGCATAATCATCCTAGAATTGTGTGCAGCTGCTTGGCCATGGAATGTGATGTCATGAAGTTCCTGATACACAGTTCTTTAGCTAATGTTGCTTCCAGAGGCAGTTTGGAACTTTTTTATGTGCTACACAGTTCAGCACTCAGTGGCCCTGCTCTTTACGTTTGTGTGGCCTACTGCTTTGTGGCTGAGCTGTTGTTGCTCCTACACACTTCACAATAATAGCACATACTGGTGACCAGGGCAGAAATCCCATGACAGTGCCACGTTTAAAGTCACTGAGCTCTTCGGTATGACCCATTCTACTGCCAGTGTTTGTCTATGGAGACTGTATGCCTATGTGCTAAACTTTATACACCTGTTACCAATAGGAAACACTTGAATAATATGGAAGGGTGTCCACATACTTTTGGCCATATAGTGTGCCTCTCCAAAAGGTTCCCCGGACTGCTGCCAGTGGCAACGGCAGATATTTAACATGCTACTCCACTGAAAACAATGGAATATCTGGTTCTCCGTCAATCGTCTACTAACATAACGTAAAAGCAGCAGAACTGTGTGTGGAGTGGGACGGCATTACTATTGAACGAAGAGCCATTTGGGAACTGAGAGAGCCGACTCTTACTGGTGAGCTGAGCCAAAGAAAGGGGCTGCAATTCACATCAGTAATACTGAATATAAACATGTGGAGAACACATAAAAAAGCATGCATAGGAAGTAAACAAGTAAACCCTCACCTTCACCGATGTGCCGAGACATGACAGGATTGGTTTATAGGTTTCCATGGTAACCGAGTCTGGGTGGATCACATCAGTGAAGCACTGGAAGAGCACAGCTGGGATGCGCTGAACCTGACAGTGGCTGAGCACTGGGGGCCACCAGAACAAACACAGGAGCTTTAGTCATTCTCTGAGCTTTGCAGTGGAGTGAATTGTGAAACCCTACGCTTGTCTTTAGTCTAACTCCAATCCAGGAAAACACAAGCCAAAGAAACCCTTTGGACTTTAAACACACTTATAATAATAACCAATTGGTAGTTGCTCAATTCCGTCAGTTATCATTTATACCGATTTTCTTTTAATTCACAAATTTGTGAGTAAAAGTTACTCATTTTACGGTCAAAATTTATATATTTGTGCTTTCAGACATGGGACTAATTTTCCAGTGGTAAGACTGTGTGGTAATATGTTACCAGCACAGTGGTATGAGTTGAGTTTTAAGAAACTCCTGCCTGAGCATGGAAGCGTACCAGACAATCTTATGGAAATCAAACGTAACTGGAATTGTACTTGACTCTGTTGCTCTGTTGTGTAAAAATTGGATGAAACTTCATAAGATCAGCTTTGTTAATGCATTTTCTCATGTCTGTCTCATCCTAAGACCTGTATTGTTCATAGTGTAGTGAATGTAGTTTCAAATTTGTGTTATATATTCACTTATTTCAAACATTAAACTAAGGAATACTCCAGCAAGTGACCAGTGTCTTGATTACAAGTGGCTTTAAAGTCAATCTTTTTTTGTTCTTTTAGGAAATCCATAAGAATTACTGTCCACTGTCCGCTGAACAATACTCTGAGCAGACAGACTGCTGGAGTTTCTTTCACTTTATGGTGAAAAGTGGGCACAGGCTAAAGGAGAAGTAAAAGTACAGTGAGTATGAGCCACTAGGTGAATGGCTGTTGAAGTGTGTTGTACCTGCGGCAGGTAGGCCAGTGATAATGTTGGGCTGCTCCAGCAGAGGGCAGGGCAGGGTGCTTGTGTAAGTGATGGTTTTCAGTGCACGCAGGAACGGAGCATCACCTCCACTCAGGTAGTCTGGAACTTTATACTCGGCCAGAGGGGCATCAGACAGCACTGTCACACTCAGACTTCTCCTCTGCATGCTGCCCAATACCTGCAGGACAGAGACCAGTGCTGGGTGGTGAAGGATTGCATACACTACGATGAAATGAAGACACAACTGCTCCACATGGAGAATTACACTGCTGCATACTGCAAATGTGGTATATTTTATGATACATTAAGAACACAATGGCGAATCCTTGACAGAACATAGATGAAGACTGGTCTGCATAGTTATAAATTTGTTAGACCACATAGACGGCTTGACTCATCCAAACATGCAAAAAACCATCTTTGATTGGTCAGACACAACAGTCACAACACAATTAAACATTCAGTTTTTGCTAAGAGGCTTTTTTGCATACTGCACCCTTCTGTGATATCAGTATCTGACGAATAATATCACTATAACAATTAAAAAACAAAACAGCCTACAGTGCCTCAGAAGTATGTGTCCCATTCTAATTCTTCTATTTTGCTTTATTTGTAATTTCATTGTTTCAAACATAATTTTATATCAAGCTTAAAATTTTAAACTACAGCAGTTTTATACGTTTACTCCCTGCCACATTATACTAGATGCTGCAAAATATGCTAGATTCGTGGACTTCAGTTATGCTGCGTGCCAGATTAAAAGATTTTCGGGTGATAGATTTATGCTGCAAGAACATGAAAACACTTGTTTATGTGGAAAAGTAGGGCCAAAAAAAGACCAACAGGTGTCAACAAGCACACTATGCCATGATCAAAAGAAATTCCACAAGGGTAAAAGCCATTATCTCTAAATGTTGAAAAAGTGGCCAATCTTTCCAGGAGTGGCCTGCCTACCCGAGTTCCTTTAAGACCACAATGACAACTCACAAATGAACCCAGAGGAACATCTAAGGAACTGCTGCAGGGGTCCCATAACATCTGGCATAAAGTTAGCACAGTATTCTACAATAAGAACATCACACCAACAGTCAAACACTGTGGTGGTAATGTGATGGTGTGCGGATGCTTTCGTGCTTTAAGGCCTGGTCAAAATGCCATTAATAATGGAACCATGAATTCTGCTCTCTACTATAAAATCCAGCAGAAGAATGTCTGGTTATTGGTCTGTAATCTGAAGCTCAAGCACAGTTGAGTTATGCAGCAAGACAGCAATCCAAAGCATAAGAGAAAGTCCACTACTGAATGGCTCAGAACAAAATTAAGGTTTTGGAGTGGCATAGTCAAAGTACTGATTTGAACCTCACTGAGACGCTGTGGCGAAACCTTAAACAGGCAGTTTTGTGGTTCAACGATTGCAATTCTTCAAAGAAGAATGGGTCTAAATTGTCCAAATCAATAGGAAAAACTGATCTTTAGTTATAGGAAGTGTTTAGTTACAGTTGTTGCTGCTAAAGTTGGCACTATGAGTCATTAAGTTTAGAGGTCCTTTCGTTTTTTTTTAAATATAGGTGACACACGTGTTGTAAAACTTTTTTTCCTTCAATAAACGAAATGATTATTGAAAAACTGAGTTCTGTGTTTCTTTATTTTGTCATTGTCTTATAGAACAGTTTGTACGAAAACCAGAAATCAGGAAACACTTTTTCACAGCACTGTAACTGAAGCATTGGTCATGTGTGATACTTGCATGTCAAACCTATAACTGCATGTACAAAACTCCTAAAGAATTTAAGAATGCCACTTTTGAGAATAAATACTATAAGATATATAATATAAGAATATACTTAAAACATCAAAACAACTTCATAAAAAAGAACCATCAACAAATGCAGCCCAGAGAACAGTCATAAGTATACTCAAAGAGGTCTCTGTACTTCTTGGTGCCACTTCCACATCAGCAAGGAAACAAATAAACAGGAAATTACACAGCTGCTCCTCTATGGAGTGACAACTGTGACCAAAGCAAACATGGTATATATGGTACAAACTACACTGTAAAATCAAATCATCATGTCTACTGTCTTCTCTTTTGAACAAAACACACCTTTTTGCTTCTAATCATCTGTTTTGTTTGAAATATACAGTCATCTTAAGTGGAGGCAGAACATATCTGCATGTCTCCACCTTGTGGCCAATATGAAATTTCTCTAACTTCAGCAGTACTAAGAATTATCCTTGCAAACATGCACACAGATTAAATCATTAAACTGAGAAAAAGAACTGAAAGACCATTATAAAAACTTACTTCTGACTAATCATTAAACAAATGTCTCTAAAGAAAAAAAAACAGGAAAAAGAATGAATCCTCTATTCATTCTAAAACTCTCCCTAGCTTACCTTTTCAGCCCACTGGAACAGCTGATCTTCAGCAATGTAACATGTACACTGGCAAATAAGAACCTGTAACAAACAGCAAATAGTACTTAGTTAGCTTATTTTTTGAGGAGACCCTTGAATGGCTACGTTCACGTTACAAGCCTCATTGCTCAAATCCGATCTCTCTGACATGATGGTTCACACTCGTTTAAGTAAGTGATTCAAATCTGTCATTAATGTGAACGAACCGGCGTCCTGAAATGACCCACATGCGCACATCCTACTCAGTAACGTCACGTGAATGAATCACGTGTGTCATCAGCAAACAAACTAACGAGCAGAACGAGCTTCGCTGTGAAGATAATTAACTCTGATCAGCTCTCAGCTTCATTATTAGAGCGAGACGAAGGAGAAAAAGATGACGTGTTGCTTTTCCACTGTTTACAAGCGTTAACTTCTGTTCGGTGCTGCTGCCATGGTAACGCTGAATGATGACACGCACACGCAGTGGAAAAGAAGCACATGAATTCCGACCTGAGCGTCACATTAAGGTTGCATGGCCACGAATCAGATACGTATCTGATCTAGGACCACATATGTAAGCGGCTCAGGTCGGATTTGAAAAGATCAGATTTGTGTGTCCACACAGCTCTGAAAACATCAGATCACATTAAGGCAAAAAAGTCAGATTTGTTCCACTTCAACCTGGTAATGTGAACATAGCCAAAGGGTGAGATGTTTTATACAGGCAAAGACATTGGTGCAAATGTGAGGTGGACATAGACATTGTATGTCAGTGTACTCACTGATGGACAGCTGTTCTGCCGGTAGATGACACAGCCCGGCTCTCCAGGCTGAGGAGCTGTGTCTGGTCGGTTGGATCCGCGGCTCCTTTCGTTCCACAGAGACACCCATCCCACCTGTGTCCAATTTTCAGACCTCAGTACATACGCAGAGATGAAACCTTACTCCAGAGAGACAAAGATAAGACAGATGCTGTATTAATTTACAGAAAAGCAACATTCAGATGGACTGTGGAACACAAGACCTTCTCTGACAGTATGTGATTGGCTGATCTCTAACTGAGGATGCAACAACGAGTTGACAAAGTCGACTACATTGATTCTAAAAAATTGCTGATGTGTATTTTTTATGTCACTGGTTTACTTAAAAAAGCTGCATGGAGCTTTTGCCAGAACAAAATCGTGTATCTCCATTTTTGTCATTTCTCGGTTTATGACATAATTTGAACATGCTTTTTGGATTTTACATTGTCTGTAAATTTTATGATGAATGAACCAAAGGAAATGCCCCAAAATGACTTGGAAAAAAGTCTGGCTCCATTGACTTACATTAAAGTAAAGTATGTTTTTTCCTTCTCCTGTAAAGTTACCATTTTGGAGATACAAGGTTTCGTTCCGACAACAGCGATATCATTTAATTAATGCCAACACATTGCTGTACATTCTATACACACAGTCAGAAGCAATATGGCCTCTGTCATTTCAATGTGTTGTAAGCAGAAATCGTTTGTGGTAGAAACAGCAATTTGAATGATGGCTTCAGTCAAGGGAGACGAACTCGAGAAAGCAAGACTCAAAAGTAGATATGCAAAGCAAGATGACAATGGCAAATAAAGTGAAAGTACCCAAGTTCCTACACATTTTTGCTTCCACTGATCGTAAGTGACTAAAGCTACATTTACACAGGGGGGAAAAGTGGCCCAAATCCAATTTTTTTCCTCATATGTGACACAGATGTGTCACCCAGCTTGTCTGTCAATGAAGCTTCAGATGAAGCTGAACCCTCCGAGAGCGACTGGCGTTCGTTGGCAGTCTTGATCGTTTACCTCTGGATGAGCCACATGAAGCATTGTTCTTTTAAGCATGCAGGTCAGTTTAGGAGCTCATCTGTTCAGACTTATGTTGCATATAGGTCACATTTAAAAGATAATGTGAACAGCCAAACAAAAAAAAAAAATCAGATTTGGTGAGAAAATCCGATTTGGGCCACTTTTACCTGCTGTGTGAATGTAGCCTAACAAGCCTATATGGCTAAAGTCCGCACTAAAGGGACCACTGAGCTATATAGTGAAAACAGATAATCTCAGAACACCAAGACGGTGTTAAATCTGTTTTAGAATGTTGTCAGTAATTTTTACCTTAAATATATAAAACACACAGTTCTAAATGACAACAGTGCCACTCGTTCCTAAACTTGGTAATGTTTAATGCAGAAACCTTTAGCCAATAATACATCAGACGTCACAGAGGCAGAAATGCCCAACTCACAAACACAATGATGGAAATGAAACAGATGAATGTTTAAGTACAGTATGTGCTAGAACTGAGTAAACAAGAAATGTGACAAGTAAAATAAAAATAGCCAGGAAATGATAAATGAAGATGCTCTAGAGCTGTGACCCATTTATTTTATTAAAGAAATAGACATCAGTAAATAAGGTAAAAAGGTTTTCTTTTTTCATTCCAGAAATTTTTGTATTCAGTCATACATACAATTTTAACTGAGAAATACATCTTGCAGTAATGTAAACAAAAGCATTTAAACATTTTAGATATTTTGGATGCTTTCTTGTGCCGTTATTTAAAGGTATTTTTCATTAAAAGTGGAACATGACTGCTAAGCCATTTGCATATAAAGTTTGGTCTAAACAAGGCATACATACCCTAAAAGACATTTTTAATGAGGAGGGTTTGAAGTAATTTCAAGATCTCAGAAAAGAGTGTATCTTGCCTGGTTTTTCCTTTTTTTTTATATATCTAAGACAGAGATCTGCCCTAACAGCTTATGGTGTCCCCTGGTCCAACCAAATCATTTCACACTCTCTACAGAAATGGACAGATTCTACTACTATATCGTTAGGCATGGTATCTGTGGTGTACAAGTCACTCCTTAAACAATCAAATTCTAATCCTTCAGTGTCTTTGTTTTAGGAGAAAGAACTTAATGTTAAACTTAACTGGGTTTCGGTGTGAAAGAACTGCTTTATTACTTCAAAAAAACCCAGCACACCACACAATTCATTTCAAGTTCAGACTAAAAGCATGTGTCACACCTAATCTGCTGTATAAATTTAAAGTTAGACAAGATCCTTACTGTCATTTGAGTAACTCAGCAATAGTCGGTATATATATGCATATGTTTTGGACATGTCCTACCGTAGACGTCTTTTGGTCATATATTCAAGATACTCTTTCTAATATTTTGGGAAAATCTGTATATAAAGATCCCCGGACCTTCCTCGTACTTGATGACTCTGCAGAATTGTTTTCTACTCATCAAAAAAAGGATTTTGTTGGCCAGCCAAAAAGAAAATACTGAAAATATGGTTTGAACCCTCCGTTCCTATGCATCTTCTTTGGCTTACTTATTTTCGGGACATCGCTCTTTTGGAATGTACAATAGCCAAGATAAATAAGGCCAAAAGAAGAACAACTGTGACCTGGACAAATACTGAGAATGAATTTTTAAAAGCAATGAGAGCATAGCAACCTTTGCTAACTGATATGAGGGTGGAAACCTCAGTATACTGAACTTATTAATTTTTCTGTTTAGGTATTCATTTGTTTATATGTCTTTTGCGTTGGTGTGTATGTCTTTTCCTCTTGTGTGGGTGTGCCACTGACCATCACCGCTGTCGTTGCTACCTTGATGATTGTTGACTCTGTACCATGTCTGTTGTGGGAAGCCCTATGGGCATGTCCTGGGCTTTTTGAACACAGTTCTTGTGTTCTTTGCGTTTGCTTGTTAATAAAATATTGATCACAAAAAAGTGGAACATGATTGCCAGATTATTTGATTTATTTTTTTTAAGAAAGACTGACCGATAATAAAAGTAATCGTTAGCTGTAGCCCTAGTTTTAAACACAGACATGGTTTACAGTTACAGCTGTATCAAAGGCTAATAAGTGGAGTAACAGGGTGAACAGGGAATTACCTGCAGCATTGGGTCCCACTGCTATGATCAGGTTTGAACACTGGAGCTGTTCAGAGCTCCCTACAGACTCTGAAACCTCTGGACACCACCTAACACGAACCTCCCTGTGAGACACAAGCGAGAAGGTTATTTTCTTCACCTCTTCAGAAAGTGGCTGATTTGTTTGTTTGTCAAGAAAAAGGTCATCTGGATGCTGGAAATGGAAGATACAGATGAAGTGAAACTGAAAGCAAGCAACTACCCAGCTAACCTAGCTAAGCTAAGTAACGTTAGCGAAGCACAAGCTTGCACAGTCATTCATAGCTGTTGGCTAAGTAAACTCTCTTTAACGTTAAAGCTTAACAGGTTTAACGATTTACTTAACAAGCATGTAGCCAAATAGCTAGACATCTTTATATAAATGAAAGTTATATAGCCACAATTTGCCTGAACAATCTATAAACTAGCTAGTTAGCTAGGTTAGCTAAACTGCTGGTTGGCTATATTAGCAACACCCGAGCCGCCCAGTTACCTTTTCTCTTCTATTTCACGACGGATTTGTGCATCTTCCTCGTTTTCGTCCTCTAAGTCGTCGTATTCATCCTCTTCCACCGCTCTCGAGTAAACTGATAAAACCTCACCAAAAAATGTTGCCATGGCTACAGTCAGCGGAGCCGCGCGGAGCCGAAAGCGTGCGGCAACTGCGGGCTTCACAGGACAACATGCACGCTGCCGGTTACGTCTCAAATGCCCCCTGCTCCCTATGTAGTGCACTACAAGTGCCGAGGACTTGTAGAGAGGAGAATTTACCACTCTGCGATGTCTTCTGGGCTTCTCAAACGCTAGAGGGCGCACCCGAGCGAGTCCAAAATGAATGGGTTGATATGGAGCATTTCAGAATCAGAATCAGAACCAAGCTTTATTGGCCAGGTGTGCTTACACATACAAGGAATTTGGTTTCGGTTACAGGAGCTCACAGTGCACAGTATCAGACAGACATTAACATGTAGTGAATAAAATAAATATAAAATAAAATTCAATGAAATAAAATACAATACAAAAAAAGATTTGAGCAAAATCATAGTTTATAAACGCTTAAACATTTTTAATGTAAAAGAATTCAATCATTTCCTGAACAACATAAAACATTTTAACACTGACGTTATATTTTTAAGAGCTTTTAAACTCGAGTTATAGGAGTTTAAAACGGCGCCTCATGTACGTTCATGACGTCATTGAGCGCCAACAGCCAATGAGCTGCTCCGCTCGCCAACCAATCAGCACTCAGTAGCAGTAATGCCAGCGTTCTGCTGCCCAAAACTCGTTTGCTGTAGAAAAAAGGAAAAATATAGGTAATATTTATTTGTTGTTTTAGTGAAATACATCCTTCTACTTTCTAAAATTAAATAAATGTTCTGGGCGAGTGATTAGAAACTATTTTAACTTTTCATTTTCAGCCGTTGAGTTCCATTTGCTCCCATTCATTGAGGACTCACTCACAAGCGCCCTCTGCTGTTTAGCAGTCCTGTTTTTGATGTAATGGGGGAAATAGGAAGTGGCCAGGCTCCTCATAAACCAGCTCTGAAAAAGTGCATTATTTCACACGGAGGCGTTTAGGATTTATCCATCCTTGTAATGTACATAGGTCATTTAATGAGCGGCTTCTGCTCCCGTAGTGGGTTTTTTTTCATGACTGCAATGCTTTCTGTTTTTTGCATATCCAAAACTCCTGATAACGTTAACTGTACTCAAATGAACGTCAACTGACTAATAAAGAGTTTTAGCTAGCTGCAGAGCAATACTATGTAATATTTTTGTTAAAACTGAAAGAAGTAGCATTAATGAGTATGGAGAAAAAAGAACACATTGAAATATGGTGAGATTGCAACACTGTGAGTAACTGTAAGGCCTAAAATAATCATTTGAAAGTCAGAAGTACCAGGATGGGAGTTTTCATGTCATACAACTTTGATGTATGCACAGGCTGAAGCAGAAGTTCAGACTAGATGTTTAGGTCTCAAATGCAAGATCAACATTATTCTGATGAAGACGATGACATATAAATAATTCAGTTACATCATTAGAAGACGCGTCCTTCACCAGGTTTTGGCTATGTTCTCTTCAAATACTTTTTCAACACACTTACAAAAGTCAGATTCATCCACTTGTGGGGGACTGAAGCACAACCCACGTTACAAAATGTTCTTCTGTATGTTGCATGCAATTACATATTTCCACCAGAGAGGTCTCCAAATCTTCAAAACCTACATAGTGTTGCTTTAAGTAAACTGTCTGACGAATTTATACATTCATACCGATAATTCTTATACTTGTATTTCTGATAAACAGAAAGCGAGAGCGAGTCCAAAAGGAATGGGTTAAGATGGAGCATTTGAGCAAAATCATAGTTTATAAAAGGTTAAACATTTTTTAATGTAAACAAATACAATCATTTTCTGAACGCAGAACAGCATAAAACATTTTAACACCGCTGTTATATTTTTAAGAGCTTTTAAACTCAAGTTATAGGAGTTTAAAATGGCGCATCATGTATGTTCATGACGTCAGTGAGCGCCAACAGCCAATGAGCTACTCCGCTCGCCAACCAATCAGCAATCAGTAGCAGTAGTGCCCGCCTTCTGCTGCCCAAAACCCGTTTGCTGTAGAAAAAAAGAAAACCTACAGGTATGTTTTTATAGCTTTTTTTTAATGAAATACATTCTTCCACTTTCTAAATTTAAAGAAACGTTTTGGCCGAGTGATTGGAAACTATTTTAACTTTTAACTATTCTAACGTTTTTAGCCGTTTAGCTTGATTTACTCCCATTCATTGAGGACCCACTCGCAGGCGCCCTCTAGCGCTTTGCAGTCATGTTTTTGATGTAACGGGGGAAATAAGAAGTGGCCATAACCGAAGTGGTCAGACTCCTCATAAACTCGCTCTTTAGGTTTTATGAGTGCTCCCAGTCTGTGTCGTGGATGATGTCGCTACAGCACACACACAAACAGATGCCGGCACCAAGCCAAAGGTTTTGTGGTTGAGTTGCATTAAGTTAAATGACGGAGCAAAATATTCTGCTATTATATACAAATAGCCTGTTATATCAAAAACAGGACTGCTAAACAGCAGAGGGCGCCCGCAAGGGAGTCCTCAATGAATGGGAATAAATGGAACTCAACGGCTTAAAATAGTCCATTCATTTTGGACTCGCTCGGAAGCGCCCTCTAGCGTTTGAGAAACCTTGAAGACATTACATTAAACATCTAAATCATTGACACAGTGTCTAACGGGCACCTTACATCCTGCAGCAGGGGGCGAGCTGACGACATACCTTCCTATAGCCAATGAAAAAAACCTGGGGCGGGGCTACACGCCTTCCAGCTGAAGTCCCGCCCCCAAACCGAGTAGAACAGCCAGTGTGAATAGTTGTGGGTGGGATTACTCGTCTTACTCCTCCTCATACGACCCCACAGGAGTCGCAGTGAGGGCTGTTTAGATGGGTGAACCTCAGTGCTGTGATATTTATGTGCCAGAAGTGCTAGAAGATGGAATCGAGGCTCTCAAATCCCACATTTAACAGTGTTTTGTTCTGCATCGTTGCAGTGTGGACCACCACTGGTGAGTTAAAAGCTTGCTTATAGGGTCCGCAGCTCAGCCCAGTCTGTTGTAGAACTGTTCTGGGATTCCGTCTCTCAGTTATTTTAATTCATCTGTAAAATGTGCAGCTGATACTTTTTATCTAATATGAGGATTAACACGTCAACAAAACGTACAGCGCTGACTGGGACATATTAAAAAGAGAAACCACTGTAACAGTGTTAAACAGTGGGTGTTAAAAACTGATATATGTCCCCATCAATGCCATTATAAAAGTCCTCTACACGTTTTTTTCTGTCCACAACAGTGTCTTCTATACAGCTCCTGTCTAATGTTCTGCTAACAGAAGAACATTTTGTGAATATGAGTTTTATATAGTTTAGAAGATGAACAGTCATTCAATAATAAACTCAACAAGAAACAATATTTACGCTAAATTAACGCCCTCCATCTGGGTTATTGTGTCTGATGAACACTGTTAGAGCTCTGCAGACAATAAACTCCCACAGCAAGGAGTGAATTTTTATGTACACAATAAAAACTAGTTCAGAGTTTTAACTCAAAAGCGTTAGTAATCTGACTGGCTTATTTTTTATTTTACTGTATTTCAAGTTAACGTTAACACATTTATCTGTTTACTGACTATTACATGCTCAGTGAGCTTTAAAACAGCCAGTTTACTGATTTTTGTAAGTTAAAATGACTATTTTACCGTGGAGTAGATTTGCCTTTTTACATAGATTTCAGGCATTTTTCCCTTGCGCTCTCTCCCTCTCTCTCCCTCTCTCTCTCTCTCTCTCTCTCTCTCTCTGTTGCTCTCGCTCTCTAAGGTCAGGCCAGACGACGCCCCTGCTTTACAGTAAGCGAAACTAGCAGTAAGCGAAACAGTTTAAAATAGACTATAGATCACCACGTCCTGGACTACAGAATGTCGACATGACTAGAGTGGTCTATTCGCAGAACAGAGAAAAGGAAAAGAGAACTGTACTGATATACAACAAAAGGTTGTTAAGCTGCACAAATCAGGAAATGGCTACAGGAATGTAGCTAAACAGTTGAAAATGCCCATCTCCACTGTCAAGTCATTAATAAAGAAGTTTAAAACAACTAGAGATGTTAAGAATCTGATGGGAAGAGGCCATTTTTGTATACTGACCCCACGCACAGTGAGGAGGAGGGTTCAGATCACAGATGGGGAATTTTAGAAATTACTTAGGTCACAATGTCTCTCAAACTACTGTTATCTTTGCAAAGGGAGGCTGGACAAAGTATTAAATGAAGAGGTGCCAACAATTGTGGCACACACAGATTTGAGAAAAATATTTATAGCGTGATAAGATTTAGGTTTGAAGAATGTTTTTATAGCCTGTTTTGCTCATGTCTACCAGGGGTGCCAATATTTGTGGAGGGCACTGTACATAAAATGCAAAAGTGCAAATGCAGTCAAACACATTATGTAAAGCCATTTATCCATTTATCTTAGCAGTAATTGTGTTTTCCTCCTGTAAAATCACCTCGTATTGTTAGAATAAATGTAAATAAATACAACACAAGTTTGAAGAACAAAGTTTGGTTCCAGATTTCTTCTGGACGCCTCCATCCATCACACGGATTTGTTGCATTCAATCACCAGCACACTTGATTTAATTTAACAAAGTACTGATTAGCCAACCCAGGTACTGGATGATAACATATAGTAAATGTAATACTGGGCTGCTAAGAAGTTAAACATACATCTTGACTTGCATGAAATCACCCATACCCTGCCACGCGACCCAGAAGGATAAGTGGTTTACATGCTTGTGTGTGTGTGTGTGTTGTTTTAAAAATCATTTTTTTTCACAATACTGTATATACACTGACGAGCCAAAACATTATGACCATATTATTATCACAGATCACATGAATTTTCTCTTAACTGGGCATGTGAAGGTCCTGGATATATTAGACAGGAGGTGAACAGTCAGCTGTTGAATGCATGAGAATTAGGCAGGTGAAGATCTGAGCGGCTTTGACAAGGGCTAGTTGTTATGGTCAGACGACTGGGTCAGAGCATCTCCGAAGCAGCAAGGCTTGTAGGGTGCTCAGTAAAGAGGAGGTCTGAGGAAGGGACAAGGATGGCAGGGTGCTGGGGGTCCACGGCTTATTGATGTGCATGGGCAACAAAGGCTGTCTTGTCTGGTCCGCACCAACAGAAGGACTACTGTGGCAATGCTAACCCCTGTCCACTATGAGTAACACATACAAGACATGCAAGCATTGGAACTGGACCTTGGAGCAATGGAAAATATTTTTTCTTTCTTTCTTTTTTTTATGTGATGTTACTTGTTGTCTGGCATAGTTGTCTGGCATGTCCAATATGCTTCTCATATGTGCAGTTCCTCCCTCCGCTATTGCCATCTTTGTACTTCTATTTGTACTTATATTTTTTATATGTAGGAGCAAGCTGCTGCAGTATAAATATTTCATTGTATATTTGAATGTCCTGTATACTGAATACATATGACAATAAACCAAACCGAATCTTGAATCTTGCAAGAAGATTGCCTGGTCCGAGTCCCATGTATGTCATGTGGATGGCTGGGTATGTGTGCAGCGTTTTCCTTGGGAAGTGATGACACCATGATGCACTGGGAAGAAGACAAGTCAGTGGAGGAAGTGTGACGCTCTGGGCAATGTCCTGGGTCTGGACATTCATGTAGAATTCAATTTGGCATGTGCCATCTACCTAAACCTTGTTGTGGTACACGCCATATCATGGCAATGGTATTCAGTGGCAGTGGACTCCTTGAGCAAGATAATGCGCTGCATGCATTGTACAGGAATGGTTTGAGGAACATAATGAAGAGCTCAAGGTGTTGCTTTGGCTTCCTAATTCCCCAAATCTCAGTCTAATCGAGCATCCTTGAGATGTGCTGGAGCAATAAGCCCACTCTGCTACTAAAGTCTTGGTGCCAGATACCAAAGGGCACCTTCAGAGGTCTTGAGTCCATACCTAGGCAGATCAGAGCATGTTTTGGTGGCACATGAAAGACCAACAGCATATCAGGCGGGTGGTCATATTTTTTTGGCTAATCAGTGTATACATAACTCTTGACAATGTATTATTGTATAAGGTGTTTCGCCATTGTAAGAGGTCAAAGTAGAGAGAAATAAAAATTCTCCTGAGAAAATAAAAATTCCATGCGTACTTTCCAGTTGTGGGGGTTAATATATGCAGATTATTATCTTGGGAAAATTGTCTAAAAGTACCCAACTAAGAGTAGGTGTGCTGTAGATGACTCCAATACACCATTCAGGCAGCATTTCTTTTACTATGTTGTCCATTTTTCAGGGGGGGGCTGAAAGTTGTGTATCTGTGATTGGAACTGTTCTAATTGTAACTGACTAGTATATAGCACCTTATTTTGAGCTTGGTCTTAAATACACATTTTACTGCTTTTTATACTTTAGCAAAGGCACTAGAGCTGATTAGCTTGGTCAGTTGTGTTGGGAGCAGGGAAAACAGTGCAGGATAGTGGCCCACCAGAACCAGGGCTGAGAAATACTGCTTTAGGTAGTATTTATATTACTAATTTAGCTATATGTGTATATATGAAATTACTTGCCAGCCTCATGCTGTTGTCTCTTAGGTGTGTTACCCTTTACACCGTATGTAAATTTAATGATGAATGAACCAAAAAAAACGACCCAAAATGACTTGGAAAAAAGTCTGGTTCCATTGACTTACATTAAAAGTAAAGTGTTTTTTTTTCCTTCTCCTGTAAAGTTACCATTTTGGAGATACGAGGTTTTCTTCCAACAACTTATTTATTTATTTATTTATTTATTTATTTATTTATTTAACATAATAACCCAAAAGGATTAGTGTAAAGCCATTTGTACATACTAGATGATACATTGCGTTTCTCCAACAGGAATCTACCCAGCTGCTGCTATAGAATTGGACACCCCTGCTGAGATATTTGTAGAAAACGGAACCACTGGGACGCTTAAGTGTTGGTTCAAATCCACTGAAGTGATCAGTAGTCAAGCATCAGTATCGTGGTCTTTCATCCCTGAGGGATCTCCAGAGTCCACTGGCGTGGCTGTAAGGCTCCTCTGCTCCTCTCCGCTATTAACATTTTTATATTCTATTTTCAGAAGTGATATGAATCAAAAAGCAGGACCTTGTTCAGTTATATAGAATACCACATTCGACAAAATTTAAGATTGTCTTTATTTTGCAGCAATTTGAAGCTCATAAGACAGACTTATATACAGTAGGTGGCGTATATTGGAAGTAACACTTATGGTAATTAGTTCAGAAAGTCCCTACTGCTTACCTTAGACACAGATATATCTGTAAATAGGCACCTGACATATGAAAAAATTCCCCCTTTCCAATAATGTATGCATGAGATGTTTCTATGGGATGCATGTGACTTGATCCCAAATTTGTTGGTTTATCATATACTCAGTGCTAAGAGTACAGACAATGCTTTAATGCAACGGCAGTCCTTAGCGCAGACAGTGGAGTATGTCAGTGTTGCATGGCATATATCTTACATATATAGCCCCCAAAATTTATCTCTCCTAACCGTTAACCAATAAATACACAGGGGTCATTCCACAGCAACGCAGGGCATATTTAAATCAGAATTCAAGGCTGATAGAGTCTAGCTGAAAGACTAAATTTCAAAGGTGAACAATTTTATACTCTAACATATGAAGTACATTCTCCAAAAATGATCCTGTTCTGGTATCAATCAACCTTTATTTAAACTCTGAATGCATTTGAGTGACCCTTATTTGCAGTGTAGCCAAGATCACAACACAAAACAAGGGATTAAAAAAGTACATATAAATCTTTGATAAAATACAAAGAGATATTAAAATAGTAAGAAAGGTCAAATTTAAGCAATTAAAACAAGTAAGACTGAAACAAGAACCAACAAAATGATTACATAAAAAATCAGATCAAACAAAACAATCATATAACAGCTAAAATAATATAATAAAAATGCAGGTAAAAAAAAAAAAAATTATCAAAGTTTGTATCAGTCAGTGCAGCATCTGGGTCTGACTGTGAGATCAACCATTTCAACTGATTCGGTTTATCACGTTGAAGTAGGCTCCTAATAATTAACTGAGCAATTCCTACATATTAACGTGAGACCGGTTTACTCTAGCTCGGAGCAGTAGCTGCCTAAAACTCCAGCTCAAGTTCTCAGAGTTCCCTCCCCTCCTACAATCATACTGTCTCTTCACATACTACAACCTTGTGTTAAAGGCGTGGTCTGAACTAGCCTAAAAACAGTTTGGAGTATTTGCATGGTTGCAAGAATTAAATAGAATTAAATATTTAAATATTTAAAATATTTAATTAAATATATTTTTTTTTTTACGTGAAAATCCGTAAAGTGACCCACCAGGCCCTAGGACAGTGAACATGGAATAACCCCAAAACCATAGATATGTCACATTTAGCAACAGCAAACAGAAAATTGGATGAATGAAGAATAACTTGAATCAAAAGAAATGTTGAAGAGTAACCAGGACGATGGGGTTTTAAAGACTTTAGAAATAGGAGATTACCAAAGCATGATCTCAGAGGACACAAATTCCTCAGTGACTTGTATATGAAGGTTTTTGTAAATGGAGAATACCTGCCTGTCAGTGTGGGATGGTCAGAGCTGCTTTTGTTTTTCAGATTTTCTACTACTCGGGTGGAAAGTCTTTCCCAGATAGCCCTCAGTTTAAGGCCAGGGTAGAATGGGCAGGAGACCTGAACAAAAAAGACGCGTCTATCCGCGTCACTCAAATGCAGTTTTTGGACAATGGAACTTACTCCTGTGATGTGAAGAACCCTCCAGATTTAACTGGTAAACCTTCACTGACCAAACTCAGGGTCGTGATGAAAGGTAAGCAAAGTTTTTTCCTTTTTTCTGAGAAGTCGGTATAAAAAATTCTCGTTTTCTGGTTCTGCAGTGCCATCAATTCACTATCAGATATCTGTACTTCTCTCTGTAGAATTCCTTGAGGAAACCAGCCCAAGAAAGACTGAAGAATACTGTCTAAGAACTGTTGCCTGAAAGAGTCTTGTTCAGGTGAAAGAATCTCACCAAATGTTATGTGAAGTTTATGGCTTTTGCTCCTTCAAGCAGGAGAAAGTAAAGTAATGTCTTTTTTCCTAAATAAAAAGATGAAGGTTCAGGTAAATGTAGGTTCTTCTGTTAGGTGAAGCTGAAAACAACTGGATAGCAAACCAAGCTTAAGCAGTAAGCTTAAGAGATCTAATACAGGGAGTGACACATAAACAGTTACGTAATCATACGTAATCAGCTTGCAAGTAAATTTTGTTTGTCATTGTCAGTGGCATTCACCATATACAACATACAAATACACATACATACATACATACGTACATAAATAAGTAGCGACCGGCCACTTCATTAAAACCACCTCCTTGTTTCTACGCTCATTGTCCATTTTATCAGCTCCACTTACTCTATAGGCGCACTTTGTAGTTCTACAGTTACAGACTGTAGTCCATCTGTTTCTCTGCAGTCTTTGTTATCCCCTTGTTCTTTAATGGTCAGAACCCCCACTGGACCACCACAGAGCAGGTATTAGTGAGTGTTATGCTGGTACAAGTGAATCAGACACAGATCCATGATTTCCAAAAAGAATTTAAAATTTTGATTCATTGGATCACAGGACACTTTTCCACTTTGCCTCACTCCATCTTAAATGAGCTCAGGCCCATAAAAGGTGGTGGTATTTCTGGATCCTGTTTATACATGGTTTCTTCTTTGCATGGTAGAGTTTTAACGTGCATTTGTGGATGCAGCTATGAACTGTATTCACAGACAGTGGTTTTCAGAAATGTTTCTGAGCCCCATGCAGTGCTGCCTGAACCTAAGACCCCTTTGTGCAATGCCAAGTTGTGTAAAGCATAGCGCCATTCTACTCCTGGGCAGTGGAAACATGTTCTCCAGTGTGATGAGTCGTGGTTTACTATTATGCAGTCTGATGGATCAGGGTTTGGAGAATGCCATGAGGGCACTGTCTATCAGAACGCATAGCGTCAACAGTAACGTTTGGTGGAGGAGGGATAATGATTTCAGGGTTTGGGCTCGGCCCCTCAGTTCCAGTGAGGGATAATGCCATAAAGACATGGTTTGATGAGTTTGGTGTGGAGAAACACCAGTGGCCAGTGCAGAGCCCTGGTCTCAACCCCCTAAACACCTTTGTTTTCTTGTTCAACATTAGTGTCGGACTCATATAGGTGCGATGTTCAGGTGTCCATATGCTTTTGGTCACGTAGCGTGTGTGTGTGTGTATACCCTTTTGACATATATATATATATATATATATATATATATATATATATATATATATATATATATATATATATATATATACACCAATCAGGCCCAACCATTATGACCATCTCCTTGTTTCTACGCTCATTGTCCATTTTATCTGCTCCACTTACTATATAGGTGCACTTTGTAGTTCTACAGTTACAGACTGTAGTCCATCTGTTTCTCTGCATACTTTGTTAGCCCCCTTTTACCCTGTTCTTCAGTGGTCAGGACCCCATGGACCCTCACAGAGCGGGTACTATTGTGGTGGGTGGTGGATCATTTTCAGCACTGCAGTGACACTGACGTGGTGGTGTGTTAGTGTGTGTTGTGCTGGTACGAGTTGATCAGACACAGCAGTGCTGCTGGAGTTTTTAAACACCTCAGTGTCACTGCTGGACTGAGAATAGTCCACCAATCAAAAATATCCAGCCAACACAGTGTTTAAAAACTCCAGCAGCACTGCTGTGTCTGATCCACTCATTCCAGCACAACACACACTAACACACCACCACCACATCAGTGTCAGTGTCCACCACCCAAATAGTACCTGCTCTATGAGGGTCCATGGGGGTCCTGACCAAGGAAGAACAGGGTAAAAAGAAACAGTAAAGAGAAACAGATGGACAACAGTCTGTAACTAGAACTACAAAGTGCACCTATATATTAAGTGGAGCTGATGAAATGGACAATGAGTGTAGAAACGAGGTGAGTGTCCCGTGAGTGTCCTGTAGACAGAAACATGTTGTTGATGAGAGAGGTCAACAGAGAATGGCCAGACTACTTCGAGCTGACAGAAAGGCTATGGAAGCTCAGATAACCACTCTGTAGTGGGTAGAAAAGCATCCCAGAATACACAGCACTTTGAATCTTCTACAACAGCAGAAGACGTTGGGTTCCACTTCTGTCAGAGAAGAACAGAAAGCTGAGGCTGCCATGGTCACAGGCTCACCGAAACTAGACAGTTACAACAAACGTAATCTGGGCTGATGAATCTCGGTTTCTGCTGAGGCACACAGATAGTAGGGTGAGAATTTGGTGCCAACAGCAGGAATCCATGGACCAAACCTGCCTTATGTAAACAGTCCAGGCTGGTGGAAGTGGTATAATAGTATGGGGAATGTTTTCTTAGCACACTTTTCCTAGAGTGTCTTACCAAAACGGTTTATGCAACTTTTGAAACACTGTATCAAAACTTTGCCTAAGGTTTTCTGGTAACCATTTACAATCAGACTGAAGCTTGTGAAAATACCACCCACATCACTACACTGGAAACGATTTACCACAAATTCTTCCCTCTGGAAAACTAGTCCCATCTCTGAAAAAACGAATTGTACAGATTTACAGCCTACTTTAAAAACAACTCATGAAAGTGTTCTATAGAAACCAAGAAACCAATTAATGACAGAATTATGCAACTGCCCAATGTCTGCTCTGTTTTTTTTATTCTCTTCTTTCTTGTACACAGTAGATTCAATGCATTATAGGTGCAGACAATAGAATTTAAGTTGAAAAATACGGGAATGTTCCTCAAATACCTCATCTTGTTCATCCTTTCATCCATTACATTAAACTATTCTGACATTGATCTATTTTCATGTAGAATGAGTTTTCAGCCATACTATCTCAGGGACAAAGATGCTGTTGGAAGATTAACTACCTCTACTATTGTGTGTCAGTGGAGAACTGAATAGAAAAAAACAATACTGTAAAGGTCTGATACTGTTCTCAAAGCTCTTCTCTATGTAAAAGTATGTGGCTGATTTGATGTTCTGTTTGTGCATCCAGAATATAGATGACGATCCACTACTAAGACTGAGGTTTGAGAAGACAGAGACCCTGTGACCTGAGCTTTTGGTCCAAAGTGTTCGTCTAGGCATTAAGGATGCGATACAAGAGATCCTGAGTTTTTTCTCTTTTGAGATTTTTTTTCCTCTTTCTTTTTTTTTTTCTTGAAATCAAAATACTCTCTCTGATTTTATAACTTTTTGAGACCAGTAAATGTTATATAATTCAATCATTGCCTTTAACTTTTACTAAGAGTAGTATTCTGACGTGTAAAAGAAGAAGCATCTTTGTGGGGTCTGAAAAGGATTTCTGCACTCCTCACCTCTATACCTGTAGGGTAAAGTACAGAACAACAACTGCTTGCCGTTAATCACATCAGTCCAGGGTCTAGAGCATTGTATCTTTGTTCCCACGGCACACTGACCCTTGGAGGCCGCTCCCCATCGCAGGCACCACTTAGGGACATCCGCATCAGCAGTAAAGATTACAAAAGATGCCATTTTGTGTTATCTAAATATAGTATGATGTTGATCCACTGAGACCCATACAGCAGAGCATAAATTTCATTTATGAGGTGTTTCAGAATCCAGCTTTTTATATTAGAATTACAAAGCATTCTGCTCATCCAAAAGGACCAAAGTCCTGAAGAGACAAAAGAAAAGAGCTCAGTCTGGGAAGGGAATTATCACACAATAGTGTTCTTAAAAATAAATATAACCCGAAAAAGGTTATTCGGAGTGATAATGTTTACATTTTATTTTTTTTAAATCTGGTCAAGTTAAAATTGGAAGGTAACTGATTTTAGTTAATTAGTTAACTCCTCAAGTTTAGTCAAAAGCTTTAATACCTTACATTTTTAGTACTACATCTCAGTTAGGTCGACAATACAATTTAAGTTGAGCTCACTCAAAAATAGCAGTGAATGTGCTCTTTAAAAATTGCTTACATTTTTAACTTATTCGAATTTTTCCCAAACTAAGATGATTTAACTCAAACAGCTGCGAAATCATGTACCTCATAATTTACATTTAGCTGACTTAAAAATTAAAATACCACTCCAAAGAACTCTTTTGACATATTTATTCATAAAAAAAAATACATCATTGTATAGTAATTTAGCACAGTCCATTTGGATAAACCACATATTCTATAATCTAATATAAAATCCAGTATTATACAACAAGAATGTAATGTAAACCAAGCCAACCAAGGAAAACAGCAGCAGTTGATGACAGAAACATTGTGAGAGCTGTGAAGAAAAAAACAAAAACAAGAGTCAGTGAAATCACTCATGGCAGCATCCTCCACAGTCAACTGTTTGAAGAAGACTTTGAGAGCGTAAAAAGAGGCGACACCACAAGATGCAAACCACTTATAAGTAAGAATAAGTAAGAATCGGAAGGCCCGAATGGAATTCGCAAAGAAATCCAAGCAATGAGCCTTAGCAGTTTTGGAACAGAGTTTTATGGGCTGATGAGACCAAGATTAACCTCTACCAAAGTGATGGAAAGGCCAAAGAGTGTAGAAAGAAACGATCTGTTCATGATTCAAAACATACAAACTCATCAGTCAAGCATGGTGGAGGTAGTGTCATGGCTTGGTCTTGTATGGCTGCTTCTGGAATGGTCTCACCAATATTTACTGATGATGTAACTCATGATGTTAGCAGCAGAATAATTTTGGACATCTACAGAAACATTACATCTGTCAATTTACAAAGAAATGCATCCAGTCTATTCAGTAGTGGGTAACACCTCTGCCCTTCATTGCACAGAATGTGATTTGATCCTGTTTGTGCAAACACCCTACACTATAGCAGAGACATAATGAGACAGGTCACTGGTTTAAATATGAATAGGAATGCTTGCAACACTCAACATGGGGTCTGTTTATGGGGAAAGTCCCACCTTTCAATAGAATCATTGTGAAGATCTGCGCAAGTAAAAAAAATTGTTTTGTGTTGACAAACTACGAGCTATTTAAACTGTTTTTATGTCCGATTTTATCAGTGATTTCAAATATGCCTTTGAAATGTTGATGTGGATTTTAGTTTCGGTTTTATAGGTCTCTTTCCATTCAAAGATATAGGGGCCTGGAAATAACTGGTGGCCAAGATGGCCATTGAGTGGACAGACTTTCCTATAATGACTTTGGCTATATGTCTACCTCCTACAAAATGATCACATAATAGCAAAATAAACAACAACTGAAAGAATGCAACAGTTTGGTGATGTCAGTGGGTCCTCAGCTTGTTGCAGTTATTGCAAGCAAGGGATATGCAACCAAATATTAAGTGTTACTTACTTTAATTTAGTTTAAGACTATCTGTTCCTATCTTTTTGCTCACCTATAAATTGGGTGGTCTGCCACTAAAGGTGCCAGGTCGTTTAACACATCTAGATGTAAATATCAAAAAGTAAAAGCTGAAATTCTGTCCTGTCATCTCATTTATCTTTTGATGTCAAAACCAAATGTTTGCAGTCTATAGCAAAAACAAAAGAATTGACCTTGCTGTTTCAATACAGAGGAGAGTGTACGTACACTGCAGACTCCATCAGTGTCAGAAATGCTCAGGACTGGAGCTCCCCATAGGGCTGAAGATGTTGGTTATAAAGTTAAGGTATAAAAGATGGTTGTTTTTTGAAGCAATGTGGTGGGATTAGTTAAATCTCAGAAGGCCTGTGCTGGCAAGTTGGAACCTTTCAGAGCCTCAGGCCTTGTGCTTTAACTCACAGATAGCTTTCCTGAAGCAAGGCAGAAGAGAGCTTTGGCTCTTTGGCCACAGATAGGATTTATGGTTAACCTTTTTGCTGCATTATTTCTTTTTTCATAATTGTTCTTTTTTTCCATTTCCTTCCATTTACTCTGTGTCTTTTTTGCTGAGCCATCATAATGTTTTTTTTATTAGAGTAAGTTAACATATCCTCTACAGAGAGCATACTTCTGCACATTTTAGTGCATAATTACTGTTTACTGGTACCCCCATAATTGAAAAAGTGTCACTGAAGTGCCCTCTAGAGTGCAGAAAAAGAGAGGAAGTGCCCTATTGGCTGCCCTTCTATGCCCTTGAATGCCCTCTAGGGTGCCCCTTTATGTAATAAATTATGACGATGTGCCTTCTACAGCAAGAACATTTATGTCTCCCTTTTAGCGGAGAAAACCCTGTAAGTGCCATTATAATGGTCTAAGCTTGACATTCCCTGTGGGTGCCCTTCCAATGCAAAAGCATGTTATAAAGTGCCCTTTATGCTGCCCCTGCATGACAGTGTCCCAAAGTGTTCCCTTTCCAGTAGAGAAAATGTGATGCAGTGCTGTAAAGGGTGTCCCCATATGTGGAGAAGTTTCCTAACGCTTGCCTCTCCAGTGGAAAAAATGTGATGTGGTGCCATACAGGTGCCCTCACAAGTTGATGTTCCCTACTCTGATGGAAAAAAAACTCCTAGATGCACTTCCAAGTGAGAAAATATGATGAAATGCTCTTGCAATGGATAGAAGAAATCAGTCTCCCCTACAATGCACCCTCTGGTGCAGGCTTTTCCAAAGTGGGTGCCGTGATGACAGTCTAGGGGTGCTGCCAAATACTGTACTAAGATTTTAAATTTAAATTTTTTAAACCATTGCACGGCTGCTAACAAATATTTTCTGTGTTTTTCACAAGGGGCTGATAAGTTCGGCTAATACCTAGCTAGCATTTTGATATAATCTCATCTGCACTATTTTTCAATGTACTGTTTAGGTTAGGTTAGATTATGTCAGGTTATCTGTATTTGATAGTAAAAGACAATGTGAATAGTTGTCAATAACAAAGTTTAAAATACTTATTACCATTGATAAAAACTTACATCTATTGCACCCATTTAAGTTTTCAGTTTTAGCCACACCCCCACTAGAATGTTCAGATGCCAGACAGGGTTTAATACAGTCTGAGCTGTAATCCTGACATCCTACTACAGTGTGTGAGAAGGAATACAGCAAGCGTTATTGAAAATATTGAATTTTACCAATGATGCATTACTAAATACTACTGTATGTACACTGCAAGTGCTTTATATAGCTGAATCACATTTTTAGCCTAGATGCCTGGCTAAGAAGCTAGCTAACTAAGCAGGTACCTTACTTAGCGGATTCTGTGCATACCTGTGGACTCAATTTGGACTCAAATCAAGCAGAAGTGTAAAAATCAGTTATTAAGTTAATTAATTTTAGTTGATCAGCTAGATTATTGTTTTCATTTTGGCAGATCAGCCAAGTAAGAGCCCTGGGAATGAATCAGCTTAATGGAGTGACCATTTGGTCAAGTTCAAAGTAGAGATACCAGCAGTTAACATACTTTCATGAAATAAACTATAAAAATCAGTAATGACAAAACAAAAACACAAACAAAACAGCAAAATGAATATTAAGGCCATTAATAAATGAAATATTAGTTAAACATTTCATGCTACATGAAAATGATTTCCCAGTTACAAGTCAGAAAACAAGCACCACATGTACTTTTAAAATCTTTTTAATTAGCAAAGTAACTGATTTGACTATGTATTGAAAAAAGGATGTTTATAAAACTTAAAAGTGGGGACAATTTCCAAGAATAAGCCCGCTGTACCGTTCCAGAGTGCAAACGCTCTCCGGGTGAATGGCCAATGTGATCAAGCTGTATCAGTCACACTGTCATATCGCTGATGTAATGTAGAGGTAGAATGTGTGAAACAGGCCTAATAACATCTGCAGACGTTTTCTCGGTCACGTCTGAAGCCTCATAGGTTCCTCAAATAATCTTGACACGTCACCTTTCACCTAGTTTCACAACAAAAGAAGTCCCGAGTTTCAGTTCCTTAATTACTGCACTGCCATGGTAGGACAGTTTGGAGATTAGAATAAAAATACTTATCTTGACCTTCTCCTGGAGCAACCTCACCCCTCAGGCACTATGATGCCCATGAAGACAAGAAACAAAGCACAAACATATCACAGACCTCACACACATAAATTCTAAGAACAGTCTGAATTCTTTGTGACATGGATTCAACAAGGTACTGGACACATTCCTTTAGAGCAGGGGTCGTACCCAAATGTTAAGAAGAGCCATTTTGTCCTTTCAACAAAAATCAAACCACCTTGGGAGCCGCAACATTTTATGTCTTTTTTACCATCTTAAAAATAAAAGAATATTAACCAAAACGCAGACTTACTTTACTCTGCTTGAACCTTTAGGTCCACTATAGCCTCTTCGCATCTCGGTCAGGAAACTTTACCGCAAAAGTAGAGCTTCTCAACGTTTGACTTATAACAAGGCTGAGGTCAGCTGCTCATTTGAATTTTCCTGTTCTACCTTAAATGACGCAGTTACGTCTTGGCACCTCAGACGCCATTTAAGGTGGAACAGGAAAATTTAAACAAGGAGCTGCGAATAAGAAACTGACTTTAGTCTCACAACTTTTTAGTGTTTCACAGTTTTTGGTTGCAGATTAAATGTATCAGGAAAACAGCTAGAGTGATTCTGAACGCAAAGAGGAAATGTTCGTCTTAAATCTTTCTCTTTGTCTTGTCATTAGCTACTAGCAAGGCCAGATTGTTGTCTGTGTTGCTGTGTGACCAGCAGTCTGCACACCAACCTTCAGGGTTAAGTGTTGGTGAATCAGCAGTTATACATTAACTCCAGCGTTTATTTTGAAAAGTAAGAACTGTGTGTTAGAACGATCAGCAGAGCTTTATTTTACTGCAAAGAAGGAAAAAACATTTTCGTAATAGACTGTTGCTAATAGTACTCCGCAGAGCCAGCGCCACAGATAAGAACTTTGAGGCTGAAGTGTTACTGAAGTTTAATGAAGGACTCTGAATGTCATGTCTGTACAGATCTGGCTGAAATGTTTAAATTGGAGCAGTTTTATGTCAACAGCTGACAATGCTTTGCACAAAGTTGTTTGGTTTGTAATCTGTTATTTTTGTTTATTTTTGTTAGGAAAAACCTGGAATGATTAACTTTGCCTTTACTTGCCTACATTTTTGTTGGATATCACACCTTTGGTTGTGTAAGTTTGATTGTTGGTTACATTTAAACTCACTTTTTGGTGATCTTTTTGTATATTTGCAGCTTTTTAATTGTATGTTTCTTTCTGGCACCTGATTAAATGCAGTGTCTTGTTCACACATTCAGTTGGGCTTGTTTTGTGTGTCAGGTGGAGATTCACAAACATTGGCGCTTTGAAAGTAGCTAAAAAGTAGCCACTACTTTTTCTGGAAAAGCAGCTCAGTTGTAGCTAGTTACACATTTTGGAAAAGTAGCTAACTACTAATTTTTCAGTAGCTATCCCAACCCTGCATATCTCCAGAAACAAACATAAAAATAAATTGCTCACCAAATTAGTAATGTGCATTGTCCATTTTATCAGCTCCTCTTACTATATAGGTGCACTTTGTAGTTCTACAGTTACAGACTGTAGTCCATCTGTTTCTCTGCATACTTTGTTAGCCCCCTTTTACCCTGTTCTTCAGTGGTCAGGACCCCCATGGACCCTCACAGAGCAGGTACTATTTGGGTGGTGGATCATTCTGAGCACTGCAGTAACACTGACGTGGTGGTAGTGTGTTAGTGTGTGATGCGCTCGTCTGAGTGGATCAGACACAGCAGTGCTGCTGGAGTTTTTAAACACCTCAGTGTTGCTGCTGGACCAAGAATAGTCCACCAACCAAAAATATCCAGCCAACAGCGTCCTGTGGGCAGCGTCCTGTGACCGCTGATGAAGGACTACAGGATAACACAAACTATGCTGACACACATGAGCTACTATCTCTGACTTTACATCTGCAAGGTGGACTGACAAGGTAGGAGTGTCTAATAGAGTGGACAGTGAGAGGACACAGTGTTTACAAACTTTTTCAATTTGCCAAATTGAAAAATAAGTCAAATTAAAAAATAAATGGCTCAGTAAATTATTCAATAAATAAAAAAAACCTAAAGTATATATTGCTTATTGTGTTTGTAATTATACACATATTTCCTTTTTCTGCAGTTATACATTTCTCAATTTATTTATTTCTGTATTATTTATTTTGTTTTATTAATGCCATTTTTACATTTTTTCCATATCTATATTTTTAACAATTGTTCATTTTATTCATTGATTCATGTATTCATTCATTTATTTTTTTCATTAATTCATTTATTTATTTCTTTTTTCATTAATTCATTAATTTATTTCTGTATTTCTTCGTTCATATGATAATGAGGGGGCGTGTTTTTCACGTTCAGGCTTAGCAATGAAGACCAGGCGGAGAAGAGCTGATTAAACTGTTCTATCACTCCATAAAGAGCTGCACAGACAGACAAACCTGCCGATAAATAACTCTCGATGGCTCCACAGGCAGTATGTGAGAAAGGCGTCCAAATGTCTGGGCGTGCTCTGAATTTTGCAGAAAAAGACGCTGAACCACCTCCTCCAAAGTTCTGAACACTACTGGTCGACCTCTGAATCAGCAGAGGCAGCAAAATGGATCAAACTGTCCCCACAGCCTCCACACGAAAGAGTGAATAACCCAGACCTTTCGGCCAGATCAGCCGAGACTCTCAGATCTCTGCTTGTCTGCTGCTGTAAACAGCCATTACTGTACTGTCTTGTCCTTAGTTACCGCTGAGAGAGCAAGACATGTACAATTGATCTCCAGAATCTGACATCGATCAACCAATAGGAATATTAAGAGGCTGTGACATCATTGACTGACAGCCCCTTTATTAGCATAAGGACAAGGAAATACAGAAATAAATAGAGAAATGAATAAATAAATATAGAAATTAATATTTATGGAAATAAATTAATAAAATAACTTAATAGAAAAACCGAAAAAAATGTTAATAAAGAAACATAAATAACAAAAAAATAAATAAATACAAAAATTAGTGAGAAGGGGAAATGACTAAATAGACATATATATAATAATTTATGTAAGATTTCATGTATTAATATATTAATTGTTATGTATATCTATTTATTTTTAGATTTATCATCATTATTCTTTGCAATTCTACTTCATATATTAATTTACTAAGTCATTTATTTTTAATTTTATTTATTTTTCATTTTGGCAAATCTGCTCCTCCATATCCTACCCTCTTCTGCTTTTATTTCCTTCTTGACTGCACAGAGCTCCCACACTGTGGGGGTGTTTCCCCCCATTGTATCTTTATTTATGAAAGGACAATGCATTAAAACAACCACACTGGGCGTTTCCTGTGCTTTGAATAACCGCTCTGAACCTGAATCTCCAGTAAAATGCTTCTGCGGTTTGGTCAGCTAATGTTTGCAATCAGTGCATTATTAAGGAAGCCAATTCACATCAGCCACAATGAAAATCCAGCACATTATTGTTTTTCATTATAAAGTGAATTGCAATGCCATTAGTTAGACCTTAGTGGTTATTCTGTGAGACTAAGTCATTATTTTGAGCACCTGCCTCATTATGTATTAGGAAGGTGGTTTATTTTTATTTTAATTGGCGGGAATGGACTTCCAGTGTAGGAGCCCCACAGTGTCTGGACGGGTTTGGGGGGTTTTTGGGTCCCTCTAGTGTTTCAGCAGAGTAGACGGCTCCTGTGAGGCTTCAAGCAGGAACCACAGGAGGACATTCCGGGTGGAGGGTGTAAACACACGGCTTGGACAGAGGTCGGATATTTATGTGCTCAACAGGATGGAGCTGAGATTCTCCAAAACTTCGTGTTACAGTGTTTTAGTTTGCTGCTTTTTGATATGCGCCATCTTTGGTAAGTCAACTGCTCACGATATGACTGGAATCATTCCGCTCGGTAGCGCTAAGTAGCCAACAATGCACTCCCATAAAACAGGGAGCTAGCAGGCAGGCAGCTGGGCTGACTGGCGTTGAATCTAAATGAGCCTAGTTAGGTCGCCATAATAATTATTTCTGATCTCAATTTACATTAAGAACGGTGTGACTAACAGTCAGTGTGTTGTAAAAATCCGCCGCTGCGACGGACGAATGACGCTGTCCACCCACCCTTGTTAGCTAGCCAGCTATGCTAGCTAGTTAGCTGTGTTAGCTAGCGAGCTACTTTCCCACCGCTGAACCTGTATTTCCTTAGCCGAATAGTGTGCTCTGTTTTACTCGACTAAAATGACACAAAGCGTCACTAGCTGCTTACATCGTCACTTAAATGTACAGTCTTAGTGACACTGGACAACAGAGGTAATAATAACATTAACAAACAGTCAACCTATGAGCTCAGGCGATTGCTAGCTTAGCTCGCTAACTAACGTTAATAAGAAACACCCGTACAGTCATGCTAACTTAGGTAGGATAGCTCGTTAACATTACTCATTTTCAGCAGTTCCTCTTACAGTTCAGCTTTCTAAGACCACAGAAAGAAAGAAAGAAAAAAAGAAGTTCGCCTGTCTGAACAGCAAAAAAGAAAGTCATGTTTGTTATTCATCTAGCAGAATTTGCTCTTTAGCATTCAGGCTCTACCCTTAGGTTTCATAATTAGTCAGAACCGTTGTATGTTCTCATTGTTTTGTCAAATAAGCTGTAATATTCCCTCACTTCAGCTTCTAATATCCATGTAGGTTAGGATTCAGCTGGTCATGTGTACTTAGTGTAGAACCTGAGTTGTCTATATGGTGCAACAGCACTACAGAGTAAGTAAAATAGCATCTGTAGGTTAGTTAACGTTACTGCCTAAAAACGTTGCCTTTCTCAAACAGGAATGTACCCAGCTGCTGCTATAGAAGTGGACACCCTTGCTGAGCTGTATGTAGAAAACGGAACCATTGGGACTCTTAAGTGTTGGTTCAAATCCACTGAAGTGATCAGTAGTCAAGCATCAGTATCGTGGTCTTTCATCCCTGAGGGATCGCCAGAGTCCACTGGCGTGGCTGTAAGGCTCCCTTTTCTTTTCCTTTCTTTCACATTTTAATATGCATCACACTGTGATCAGAGCTTGAACTATAGAGGATTTGGATGGAATAAAGTCTGATTTGTGGAATTAGCTTCATTTGCACCAAATTGTAAGACATTGGTACTGTCTTCAAATCATAGTTTGGCATAAGTACGTTTTGGGCTGAATTATGTTGTAAGAGCACTTTGTGAAATTTGATATATATAAAGGTATCTTGTAGCCATTTCACAGGCTACTTCATATAGTCTTTCCGTTTTAGCATGCATGAAGTAATTAGACAGGATGCTTAGTTATTTCCTGACAAGCTTTGTGTTGTTTCACTATTAGTACCTGCACCAGAAACGAAAGGTCTGCAGTTGATTTGAGGTGTGTCATTTGCACCTGGTGTCCCTTTTAGCAAAATACAGAGAGAAGTGTCTTATGGTGAGATGATTACCCTGTACCAAAGTGAAGGAAAGAGGAAGCCTGTATGAGACTGATGGAAAGAGGAAGGCGTTTGGTAGGGAAATTACTCCAAATCAGACCAGCCAATCTGTGAAATGTGGTGGAAGAGGCACTGAAACTGGCCACTCGTCCTTACTGATGATTTGACTGACGGCACTAGTAGCATCAAAACAAAATCTGAAATGTGCTGAACTAAAGCATATTAATTGCTCAAAAATAGACAAATTGTCCAGTGCTTTGACTGTAGACTTACGCCTTAAGCAACTGTGGACTTTTTCCAAGGCCAAAAGGCAGAAGCTTCTAGACAAGTAAAACACAGAATCAGGAAGCAAAACTGACTTTTTAAACTTGTTGGTTTATATTTGTGGTCTTATTTATACCAGTTTAAGCAAAGTTTTTGTTTTCCTGTAATCTTCAACCATAGTGTGGTGACTCTTACCTGCCTTGTAGATTTGTTTACGTCTCTGTGCACCAGTGGGTGGGGAAAAATGTCATATTTCAGTTCGTCCTTCTTCAACCCCCACCTGTCATTGTGCAGAATTCTTAGCTATCTCAGAAACCTGCTCTTATACTGCGTCTTACTCAGAAAATCATCACAGTGTAGAAAGAAAAGGCATTACAATTACATTACAAAGGCATTACATGGATTCTTTTCAACTTTGAGGAAGGCAGGACTGAGGGGGTTTGCTGATGTCTGTGAATTATGGACAAATTCCTGCATTAATCCAGTATAGATTTCATCTCAAATGAAAGACAGGCCTACACTGTGCGATTTTAGCCCGTTTTTAAGCCCGATTTGGTGGGAGCCGACTGAATTTTATGATCGGGACGAATTTCAGCTTCATCAGCCGTCGTTTGCTGTGCAATGTGAGAGGGGAAACGATGCCCGATTAACTGCCCAAACGAGCTCCGATTGAACAGTCGGATGATCGGATTGATTTTCTGACATGTCAGAAACTCCCTACATAGAGGCAAAAAGGTCAACGTTTGCAGCACCAGCGTCTGTGTGTGCCGACTTTGCTCCATTTGACTGAGTTGAATTGTGAGGCATAAATAAATACGGTGATGTTTTGTCTTTGTAGAGCTGTCTGTAGACCGCCTGGTCTTCAGCTTCAGTGCACTGTGCGGCACAAGTTAGCAAAGCTGTTGTAGCGGTTTGTCAATGGCTGAATCTCAAACAACCCCTATTTCCTATGTAGTGCACTAATTTCTGGCTTCTACACCAAAATGGTGCACTGTTAGTCCAGTATAGAAATGGGCACACATGGCTGAACCTCGGAAGGCTATTTATTAGTCATGTGATGCACTTTATGGGTGCAGGAGCACTCTTTTAATATGTGGTGCACTATGTAGGGAGCAGGGAGTCATTTTTTGAGTGAAAAAGCTTTATTGTAGACAGAGCTGTCTGGAGGCATCCATGTCGTGTCATGTCAGTCGGATCGAGTGTTTTCGTGCAGTGTGAGTATATAAATCGCAGGCTTTGGCCGAACACGATGAGCAATTCAAACGCAGAGTGTGAGTTTTCACCAAAGAACAAGATTTCTGAAGTTGCACAGTGTATGCCTGGCTTAAGGCAGAGATTGTGAACTTTAACCTCAGTCATAGTTTTCAGATCTTGAAGTACAGAGCGAAAAAAAAAGGTGTCACTGTTCAAATATCTGCTTTCTTGTAACAGTGTCTTTTGATATAAATGAAAAGAAAGGTTTAGTAAACAGAGGTTCAGAGGTTCATCTGTCTGTTGGCTCCGTTTGTTTTTCAGATTTTCTACTACTCGGGTGGAAAAGCTTTCCCAGATAGCCCTCAGTTCAAGGCCAGGGTAGAATGGGCAGGCGATTTGAACAAAAAAGACGCGTCTATCCGCGTCACTCAAATGCAGTTTTTGGACAATGGAACTTACTCCTGTGACGTAAAGAACCCTCCAGATATAAGTGGTAAACCTTCACTGACTAAACTCAGGGTCGTGATGAAAGGTGAGCAAAGTTGTTTTTTTTGTTTTTTTTTTTCCCCTCCTCCCCTCCTTACTCAGAAGTGCAGTTCTCTTTGTAGTTCTCTAGTGCTGTTTTTCCTGTTTTCAAGATATCTGTATTTCTGTCCACAGAAGCACTCCCTCAGACCAGCCCAGCAGTCATAGTGGGTGCAGTCATTGGTGCAATCATTGGAGTCATCATCATCGCCTTTGTTGCATATCTGCTAATAAGATTAATACCGTCCAATCATGATTATGAAGGGTAAGCTCTTCCCAGATGATTTAAACTGTGATATTTAAGACTTTATTACAGGTATATTACAAAAATGCACTTTAGTTTAGAGGCTCCATGCAGTGAGGTTTGTATTAACAGGGGGCTTCTTTGGGTAAAGCAGGCTTTGCACAGACTCTCATCCATACATGAGGTTTGAAATGTCTTGACAACAATGATGAGTGATTTGAAGACCTGTGTAAAATCTGGGTTACTTAAACAAGTCACTCTCTGGACTAACTCTTCCTGATGTTCCACTTACCCAACTAACTCCTGCACTTAGTGGCGGGGTGGAAAGAAAGCATGAGGTGTTACAGAAGTTAGCTAATCCAAGTAAAACAAGCTAACCTGTTTTTTGGATTGTGTTGCCTTGTTTTTATGGCCAATAACCAAAGCATAAACATAGGTGTTCCTAACATCTGCTTGAGTTTTCCACAAAATTACATGCTTTACTGTGATTATATGGACCAGATTCAATGCTGATTCCTGTCGAAGGTCTTTTAGTTTGTGGCAGCTGTGCCTGTAGCACTCACTACACAACTCTTAGCCTCACGGGTTGATGCATCGTCCTCATAAAATGTCATTTCTTAGACGTCCAGTCTTAGAAAGACATTGAGTCCAGTAGCATGCTCGACATTCGTAGGTCGAACAAACGCTGTGTGTTTCTTCATGTGTGTTGTGAAATATCATGCATCATCCAGCATCTGTATGTTCATTATTCATTAACACAGCCTCTTCCTAATGTCCAGTAAGCCTGCTGCTTTCTGTTCTTCTGTGCCAACACATGCACTAACCCTTGTCTGAGCAAGCATAACATAACATGAAAAACCCAATGAAAAATCCAGACATGAATTGCTGCAACTGGCAGTCTAATTGTTGGTTCTGCCAAGGATTTTGAAAGCAGTAGTGTTTTAGTAAAGGCCATTTACTGTCTACAGGGGTGGACGATATGGCAGTGTTATCACAGTAAATTAAATCACCATGTGCTTTCCTGACCACTTCACAGGCTAGCCCATTATGCCATTATCTGACTGAGCTGTTAAATTTTTGTTTCGCTTGGTCCTTCATCAGTGGGCCTCATTAATGAAACTTGTAAATAAGTAAGTAAGCTGCAAGTAAATTATGAGTGAAATAAAAGGGACCTTACCAAAAAAAAATTATAATCCACACCTATGAATTACTAATAGCTGCTATAATGCTTCAGATTTGCTGACAAAACCAAGTAGTAAGCCTTCAACCTGCCTGCGCAAAAGAAATTAAAGGAAATAATTAAATTATTTCTATTATTAAAAAACCTTTTGGTCAGGTTGATTCGCCCCATACACTTTATAAATTGATTTTAAAAACTGAAGTAACCTAACTGCTTTAAAATGTAGGTTTCATTCATTTAAAATTAATAAGTTCACATATTTAACTGCATAAACATGACGGACCTAAGACCAGGCTCAAAGGAAGCCACTCATTTAAACCTGTCTCCAGAGGAGGAATGTAGTGTGCGTGTCCCAGTTGGCAAAAGTACAACGATTTTATCCTGTTCAGCATGAAGAATGGGAGCTACCATGTTTCTAAGATGCGTAAGTCTTTCTTTATTTGATGTGTCTTTTTTTCTAAGAGAGCATTTATAATTGGCCTAGATCCCCCCCCCATTTCTTCTTTTTACCCCTCCCCCTTGTTTTCGAGTGTCACCCTAACCCCTTGGAACTAAGTTACAAGGGGTAGTGGTTAAAATCTTCCCCTATGAAATGGGACCCTCAAATAAAAAAAAAATAACAATATTGTTTCATTGAGAGGCTACTAGCGCTGCTCTGTAGGTGACCCGGCCCGTCATCAGCGACAGCAGAGAAGGGAAAAGTTCAGCAACCTCACTTCTGGGCTTTAATTACATTTAGTGCATCATATGCTTTCAAAGAGGGGGAATAAAACAATTATTTATTATCACCCACTCCAATTATTTGGTGATACGAAGCTGAAGTCAGATATTCACCAGCTTCTTGTCCGAATTTTCCCGTTCCATCTTAAATGGTGCAGCAGTTACATTCTAGAGCTTCAGGCGTCAGAACTGCTGGACTATTTAAGGTGGAACGGGAAAGTTAGCTAGCTAGCTACCGAGACATTGGCATACTATTAGCGATTTTTTTTATGCTTGCTGTGAAGAAAACGACCATAATACATTGAAATGACTTTAAACTAAGATAATACAGTGATTATCATAATTTTTGTTATGGAGAAAATTCTCACATTTGTGGGTTTCTTTGGTCGCTTGTGCAGGTTTTTCTTTTTTTTTTCCTCATAACACTCCGTTTGGAGTGAGCCTCTAAAAAACCTCTGTTTGCAGGGCTATGTAGCCCTAACACTTCGCCCTACCCCTGTAACTCAACTAAAATTGGGACACCCTAACCCTAGATGTGAACGTGCAAAACGGAGGGCTAAGTGGTAGGGCTGAGGAGTGAAATGGGATTGGGCCTTAGTCAATAATAAAATGCAGCTGACTTGACAAAACTAAATAAAATTCTCAGAATTTTTGCCTTCGTTAGATCAGGGTTGTTGCTTTAGATAAAAGAAACAGTGTTCAAATATAGTATTATTGATAGAAAAGAGTAAATAAAACGGAACTTTTTCAAACTTACAGAGTAAACTTAGAAGTTTGGTAAACATGTTAGGTGTGCCAGGTTACTTTTTTTTATGAAGTTGTGCCATTTTTCACTAGTTTACTGGTTCACTTTATCACTGTTCTTATACTATAATTAGGCATGGCTATCAATATAAGTTAACACAAACCATTTACAGACATGTTTAGAACATGTTCAGTTAACTTTTCATGCCAAATATTATAGCTAAATGTCCACATTTTTGAGTGAAGACAGTTAAAGCAGAATGGAGGGTGGAAATGGACCCTCTTCGTTTCGCAAGTCCTGTTTCATGGCGGTGTTACACATAATACAATAAGCCAGTGGGCCTGTTTAGACCTGTAAACACTCTGCTACATCCAAACACAGACATTGAACCTCCAGTGTCGCATTCGTGACAGCATCTGTCAGCGCTGAGGCTTAATCAGTGGGGTAGACTGACTTATATTTAAGACTTGTTCTGCTGAATTATAGCCTATCAAATGGTGCTCTAAATAATGACTCATAACGAAAAGGAAACCGAAAATGCGTTTGTTTTCTTTTATTGCGACTACCAAGTTTACTTTTTAAGCTTTTTAAAAACGTTAGTCAGTTGATCTTTGTATCAAAATGCAATCATATTATGTGTGGTCCTCATATGTGTGGAACATTTTGAGACAGCGATTTGCGTAAAATTTAATTCTGCTAGTGTTCCAAGAATGAGGCTCATTGTAATTATACTGTTGTTAGCAAACCTTCGGAAAAAAAAAACAAATATTATGATACTTGATTTTAAAATGTTTGGCGGTAATACGTTTTTGCCATATCACCTACCCCTGTCAAAAAAAAGAAACCCAAGTTAGTACTTTAGCAGCGGTTTCATCAGTTCCTCCTTTCAGAAGTAAGAGTTCTCAGGATTATCTGCAGTGTTAAACCGGCTTGCTGATAGCTACTGTCTAATATGTTTATGTTAGCGGTTTGTTCCTTTGGTTTATTGTCCATGTTTTTCACCCAGTGCGCCAAAGTCCATGTTGCTTTTTGTCATTTTTTTCATCACATTTGTGTCTGTCTCCATCTTTCTCTCCATCGGTGTGTGTGTTTTTATGTATGTGCGCGTGGGCCTTTGTCTGTGTCGTCATCGCTGCCTGGTCATCTCGCACACATGAAAATGGCTCTGGCTGAAACCTGGCTGCCACAGCTGCACCTCCATAGAGAGTGTAAGCACGCAGCCGGCTCGGCCGGGGAAGAAAGCTGAGTCCAGCACGGAGGGCTCGCGCTGTAGCAGCCCCTCAGCCCCTGTACAGGTACGAGTATGAGTGGTGACAGGGGGAGGGTGTATGAATGAAAGAGAGAGAATCTGAATGCATGGCTGGGTTGGATTGGTAGGACTGTACAACATGCCAGTACTTGATTTATCACAAGAAAAATCTGCTGTGTGATGTAGCAAAAGCATACAGTGACAGGCATTCATCCAGTTCAAGAAATATCAGTAGGGTTTTGCAGGTCTTAAGTGTTTTGCCATATCATTTGCAGCAGTATCGTTTTATTTTTTGTGCATTTTGTGCAGTCCATGTGTGTTTGTGTGAGTACGTACACAAGTCTCCCACACTGCCCTGTGTTCAGCGTGTGCTAGAGCTTTAGTAGAGTGCCATTTTGTTGTTCTGCATGTTTTTCCCCCACCTACAGAGACGAGTTACAACATGCCAGCGGTAAGGTCCAACAACAAACAGACATTTCTGCTGTTCAGTACTATGGGCAGTTTTGAATAAGAGAACCCGAGCTTTCATAAATGTCTTAGTTTCATCTCTGGATGTTTCTGCAACTACAGGCCTGTTCAGGTCCTGGCAGTGGATTTTGCATAATACAGTCGTTTTAGTGGTTGATTTTTAAAGTGAAAGAGGAAATACAGCCTCATTTTGGACACCTTTCTGGTACATTGACTGAATAGAACTGGTTAGACGGGTCAAGAATTGTCGTTAGAAATTTCGGCTGATCGCAATTCCAGAGCGTAATACGTTGTCTGAGGTCAAACTTTGTTCAAACAATTTAACAAACATAGGCCCCTCTAAGCAGTTGGCTGAGGAGCTGAAAATAAACTGAGACTTTTGTAATGCCCCTCAGAGTCCCCTGACTTGATCTGTGGGTCGATCTTAAACAGCCCAAAAATGCTGCAAAACTAAGAGCATTCTACAAAGTTCTTAAAGTATAAAGAAACTCTGCATTAACACTTACAGATTTTATATAATAATTTGCTTAATATGTTTTTGATTTCCCCTGACTTCAAAGGCAACAAAATATGTTGGCCTTGGGTGCCCAGACTTTGGCTTGCAACTGTGATGGAGCCAGAGAGCACCAGGACAAAACTGAGGAAAAACCTAATTTAAATGTCTGTGTATTCACAGTATTTGTTTTGTATGTCCTACTCTTGGCTCTTATGAATAATGTATTTTGGATTAGATTTAAAGCAGTTTAATGCTCAAGCTAAACTTGAATATATTAGAAGTTATCAGTAGTGACAGGCCATGTTATTTGCCTATAAAAACAGTGAAAGTATCTGTACTGTGACGTCCTTACTGAAACACCTGAGTGCTGAAATTTGCCGTGAAGACAATTTCAGTTCAGATGAATATTTTATCCATTAAATGCAGTTTGGTTTTGGTTATCTTCTTTCCAGATGTCTGGTATTTGAGATGTGTTTTAGGACAATTTGGATAACCAGAACTGGTAGTAGTTGCTGAAACACCCATCCATATATATACACCAGCCTCTTTGTTAAGTACACCTACCATCTAGGTGCACTTTCTGTAGTCCATCTGTTACTCTGCATTCTTTGTTAGCCCTGTTTTACCCTGTTCTTCAAAGGTCGGGACCCCCACAGAACAGGTACTATTTGGGTGGTGGATCATTCTCAGCACTGCAGCAACACTGACGTGGTGGTGGTGTGTTAGAGTGTGTTGTGCTGGTACGAGTGGATCAGATGCATTAGTGTTTCTGGAGTTTTCAAACACTGTTCCACTCCTACCTTGTTGGCAAGCCTTGTAGATGTAAAGTCAGAGATGATAGCTCATCTGTTACTGCACAGTGTGTGTTGGTCATATTCTAGTTCCTCATCAGTGGTCACAGGACACTGTTGGCTGGATATTTTTGGTTGGTGGACTATTCTCAGTCCAGCAATGACTTTGAGGTGTCCAGCAGCACTGCTGTGTCTGATCCACTTGTGCTAGCACAGCACACTAACATGCCATCACTACGTCAGTGTCACTGCAGTGCTGAGAATGATCCACTGCCCAAATAAAGTTGCTCTGTGGGGGTCCTGACCATTGAAGAACACAATAAAAGGGGGCTAAAAAAGTATGCAGAGAAACAGATGGACTACAGTCTACAGTGTATGGATTGTAATGAAGCTGACCTTTGATTCTCTGTTAATGAACTTTCTTTTTTTTTTTTCCTTTTTTTATTCATGTGCTGGATGTAGCTCTTGCTGATTGCCTCTCGTTCTTCTTCTCTTCCTCATCCCCTTTTTTCTCAGGGACCGGTGATATACGCCCAGCTGGATCACTCTGGCAGCAAGAATCTGAACTCCTTCCACAAGATGGAGCCCGTGGTGTATGCTGACATCCGTAAGAACTAGAGAGAGGGAGAGAGAGCCAGAGTAGAGAGGGCAGTCATCAAACACCTCCAGCAAAACTCTGTTCTGAAATGTTTCATAGTTTTTTGTTTTTTTTTTTTCCCCTGAATGAATGACAGTGTCACATGGAAGTCATATCCCACATATGCAAAGGCTTCAATACAGCTTAGCATAGCTAATATCATGAAAAGAAAATCTACCACAGAATGTACAGTTACTCCAAGCGTCATCAGCTTTGCCCCGCTTGTAATTGCATGTAGCTGACCATGCTACCTCCTTCACCTATCAGATTTCAGAAATGAGGGTACCAAAACTTCAGGGACGATGTTCCTTTTACTGCCGCTGTGCCACTTAGGATTAAAACGAAACCCAAATGTGCCACATTTTGACATTGTTAAATGTATGTGTTGTAAATGTCTTATTGATTCAGTAGTGTAATGATGTAATAGTGATAATGAGCATTATAGCCTAGTTTCTATTACTGACTTCAGCAGGGCAGCCGCTCAGACCACAGCAAAAATAGGTCAAAACACAAGCTTTTAACTTTACAGTACGAATGGGTTAAGTATTGTTGTACAGATAAAGGTCTTCGCGCTGTGTTGCATGGAATTTGATTCGACACTAGTGACAGTTAGCAGTGCTTCTCAACCTTTTTGTATATTTTTTGTATAAATATCTTAAGGATGAAGTTAGGCCAGTTTTCAGGATCCAGATTAAGCTTAGTCTTAACTAAAAAATGTACAAAATTAAAAAAAAAACCTCACGTCTACATTATCAGACTAGGCTTAACCTGCGTCTGGAAAAGTGGTCCAGAACGTCAACAGCCTTACTGTAACATCCAAAAGCTTTTTTATTCTTTTTTTTTCCACTTGAATTTTGCAAGTGCTTGGCCAAAATGTTACAATTGACATTTCTACGTTTTAAAAATTCCTCCAAAGGTTAACAGCCATTTCTAGCTCTAGGGAAGACATTGGTGCACTCATTATACTGCCTTTTTTTGTTACATGCCAAAACATTTGGGAATTAAACATTCCGTTGTTATTATTATTCCACTTCTAAGTCTTAAATATTTTGCACATTGTTGGAGGGTTACAGTTTGATTTTGTGTGTAATGTTTTATTTTATTATGATTTTAGAAAGGGCGAACACTAATGACGACGAACATTACCAAAACCGTTACATTCCTTACAGTCGACATAATGCTGGACCTTTCTGTCATGCAGTCTTGTGTTTGTAGTAGCATGTGTGTATAGGTTATTTTTCTATTTTAAAATCTTTTGTTGTCTACTAAATCTGACACCGATAAATTTATGCTCTTAAGAGTGCAGTTTACAGAAGCGTCGCATTGTTCAAATGTGCCTGTTCTGCGAGGGTACTTTATGTAATATTGTACTTTTGGCTGGAAAGTATGCATTATGTCTTACAGCATGTTTTGACTTCAAGCACTATCGTCCTTACGTTTCCTGTAGAGAAAAAGTGAAATTAATGCAGGACGTGACCATTCGTTTTAAAAACTGGAACGTTGTGAATTAGTGCCTTTCACATTTCATGTACTAACTCGGTCATCTGCCACAGGCTCTGCGTATGTTCTACCCACTTTTATTTTGTATATGAATCTGTTGTATCTGTCTAATTTTTTATATATATATATAAAAATCAGATTCGACCTAATTCAGCATTTTGGTCTTTACTGCCGACGCATGTAAGTGATCTGTGTCCCTGTCAGTCATGTCAGAATTGTTACCCACAGTTCTCATATTGTTGCATTTTATTTGGTTTGGTTTGTTTATTCATTTTTTTGTATGTTTTATCTGACCAAGAGTACAACAAAAAGAGAAGAATAGAGCCAGAACAAATGTACGATTCTGTGCTGATAGATGGTAGATGAATGTACTAAGAAGTTCCACTTTTTCCCCCCACAGAAAACAAGGGCTCACTGATATGAGAATTGTGGGCCCGATGCCAATGCTCGATATTTTTTCATGTACATATCTGCTGATGCATTACATTTTATAAAATGCAGAAACTGAGACTAGATCTACCTGTATTAGTGTATCACAGATATATATTGTTGTTGTCAGAAGAAAACCTTGTATCTCTAAAATGAAAATTTTACAGCAGAAAGAAAAAACCTACTTTACTTTTAATGCAAGCCATTATGGATGGAACCAGATGTTTTTCCAAGCCATTTTTGGACGTTTAATTTGGTCCGTTCTTGATCAAATTTACACACAATGTAAAGGCCACCCAGCATTTTAAAATTTTGTCAAAAACTGAAAAACGACAATAATGGAGATACAAGGTTTTCTTCGATATTCAGCGATATTTACACTTATTTCCAAAGGATTACAGATGAAGTAAAGTGCATAAAAAGGAAAGGTTTGAGCGCACCTGGACAAATTTAGTTTTTTTTCTAAGTAAAAAAAGTGCATGTTCTCTGCAGAGAAAAACTGTTATTTGCTGAATATACCATAAAAAGTGGCCTTTTTGAGAAAGTTATGGTGCATTTTACTTTCCCGTGCTTGAGTGTTTTTCATTACATTACTATTTCACTGAGCTAGAAATACTTTTAACCGGGATTTCAGCTACTCTTTGGTTCATAACTGTAACCATCAGCTGTTCTTTCTAGAGAGGTTGTCCCAAATTCCAGACTCTGGATGCAACAACAAAAAAAAACAATGAATACAACAAAAACATTGAACATTGTTTTAGTGTAAGCAGGTTAAATTTATTTTAAAATGCTTTTGGGCCACTTTGACCTGGTAGATTTTTCTGATTCGTCATGGCTGAAGAAGCAGAAGTATTCCAGATCGGGTGCCAAACATTCCCCAGATACCCTCTTCAAACTGGAAAACCATCTCGGACATGCGAGATACGTGGATCATATTTACTCTTCCAGTGAAAGACCGGCTGGACAGGTCACTGTTGCACGTTCACTACAGTTTCTCGCTTTTTGTTGACTAAAATTTCTCGGGAAGACTAAAAAGGAAGTTTTCAGCAAGTTAATTAGTCTTTATCAGATTCTGCATGCCTGTGTTTTGAGACGCTTTGTTTACACAATCTGAGCTGCGGTTTTTGAGCCCCATTAAGTGCTGTCCAGTATATGATCTTGTCTTCCTTATAAAAGATGAATAATTTGAATTCTTCAGTGTTTGGCACTAACTCGACACGGAAAAACATTCCTTCAACTCATAGACTGAAGCACTGACTTATTACAACAGGAAGTTGACTTTACAGTATTATTCAGGCTTTATCTAATACGCAGACATGCTATTAAAAGTGATTTTATATTCTTTAATCAATTCGTTCTGATTTTAAAGGCTAACCTAGTTTTCCTGACGTAGATAAAGACTGGTCTCAGATTCTGCTACGCTACTACAGAAGATTTCCTATTGAAGCACATTACCTCAGTGACCAGGCCCAATCAGTCTAAGCATTGGCCCTGGTCTTTTTGGCCTTGGCCAAATCAAGTCAAACCAAAAACACTGTACATTTTCTTTTGGCCGCTGTTCATATCTTTATCTCGGGCAAACCTTGTCATCAGAAAACTATGTCTCTCATGTCAGAAAATACGGAAGATGTTTGTACTGATTTCCTCTTCCAGTGAAAAATCCACAAAAAACTGGCTGGACAGGTTGCCTTTTTGAAGTTCCTCAAGGCTCTTTTGTCCTTTACTGTAGAATTTCTTTGGAAGGATAAAGATCACCTCCACAAGCTTAATGACCTGGCTCGGATTACATCTACAGCTTCCAGCCAATTATCTTGCCGCACATTTGGGCCACTGTGGGAGGAACGCAGATGTGTTTTGGTAGAGCAGATCAAGCTGAATCCTGCCTACATTCCGAAACACTTTCGGTGGAAAATCAGCACTAGGCTTTCTGTCGTGTTTACCAGTTTTGAGCCTTAAAGAAAACTTAAGCGCTTTCCAGACAAATCTGTTAATGCTGTGTCTGTAACAAACCACCAATTAGCACAGACAAACACTGGATGCGTTCCTTGTACTCAGTCAAACAGAAAATGGAACGGGTTCTTTTAGCAGAAGCTAACAGGCAGATGCTGCAAACAGAGATTAGGCTGAAAAAGTATGCAAGTAGCCTTCAAGCTAATAATTTTCACACTAATGTAATTTTATATATATGAAATGTTTCCACACATTATAGAAAGAATTTTGTTATATGATATGTCTATGCTTGTATCATATAAAACATAATTTAAAATAACCTACTGTCCTTTACATTGTGTGTAAATTTCATGATGAATGGGCCAAAAGAAACGGCCCATAATGACTTGGAAAAATGTCTTGTTCCATTGACTTACATTAAAAGTAGGTTTTTTCCTTCTCCTGTAAAGTTATCGTTTTAGAAATATGAGGTTTTCTTCTGACAACAGCGATACACACACACACACACACACACACACACACACACACACACACACACACATATATATATATATATATATATATATATATATATATATATATAAAAATCTTCTCTTCAGGCTGACATTCAGCAGTCAGTAGCTGCCAAATAAGATCAGCCCCCGCTGGCTGAAAAAACGAGTCAGAAAAAACGATCTGGTCGCTTATATCTTCTAGTGTGCTTCAGAAGCTTTTGCGGTCATTTGTGTAGGTCATGGGTTGCAAAAGGTTGGGAACCCCCGATTTGCATTTTCATACTCATCCAGCATTTCACATATATATTTTATATATATATATATATATATGTGTGTGTGTGTGTGTGTGTGTGTACTGGAAGTCTGAAGCATTAATATTTCCCATCACTGGAATTAAGGGGTCTAGACCAACCCCTGAAAAACAACCTCACAGCATTATCCCTCCTCCACCAAACTCTACAGCTGGCACAGTGCAGTCAGGCAGGTAACGTTCTCCTGGCATTCACTAAACCCACACTCGTCCATCAGACTGATAGACAGAGAAGCGTGATTCATCACTCCACAGAATGTTTTCACTGATCCAGAGTCCAGTGACACCATGCTTTACACCACACCCTCCCTCAATGCTTGCCTGTGTGCATTTTAATCTTAGGCTTGTGTGAAGCTGCTCCACCATGGAAACACATTTCGTGGAGCTCCTAACATGCAGCTGTTTGCTGATGTTGCTTCCAGAGGCAATTTGGAGCTCTTTAGTGAGAGATTCAACAGAGGATAGGCCCTGTACACTTCGGCACTCAGTGAGTTTGTGTGGTCTTCTGCTTTGTGGCTGAGCTGTTGTTGCTCCTAGATGCTTCCATTTCACAGTAATAGCACTTACAGTTGACTGGGGCAGATCCAGCAGGGCAGAACGGTCACAAACTGACTTGTGGCAGAGGTGTCATCCTATGACAGTACCATGTTTAAAGTCACTGAGCTCATCAGTATGACCCATTCTACTGCTACATAAGTAGACACATATATAGCATCATAATGATGACAACTAGACACATAGCATCTTCCAGACATGGTGACTAATTGTGATTCTTTAATGAAGCTGAGGCTTTGTGATTTGTGGATGCTGTATGAGTCTTGTGCAGATTCCCAGTGTTGAATAATCACCCTGCCTTTCAGTTTTGGTTGTACTGAACCCGTGTTGACTCATGACGACATCTGCCGAATGAGCGGCTGAACAAAAGGCTCCAGGACTGTCAGGTGTGTGTGATAAGCATCTGTGACATTTTATGAGGAGTTACAGATGCTTTGATCTAAAAAAAAAAGAAGCTTTGTTTACAGATAGAACAATCATTCTGTTAGTTCAAATTGTCACGCTACACTGGAAAAATAATTACATGGTTAAGCTGAGTTTGTAACCTAATTGCCTTTTGATTTTGACTTCATTGAACTTTAAATTATAGGTTAACAAAACGTATAACATAGATTATTATTCTGTCAACGTATTAGTAGAGTTGTTGAAATATTAAATGCTTTTTTTTTACACTGTCTAAAGCTGTCATATTAGTTATCCTCCAGTAATTAATGATTAGATTTGGAAATGCACAACAACATACAGAAATCATTATTTGTTATATTAATATTTATTTTTATT